ATGCAAGTAAAATTCATCATTAAAATGGATTAAAACATATGTTTAAAAGTCAGCACTAATCAGATATATCTTGACATGAGTTCAAAAATCAGTTCATGCAGAATATTTGTGGCCAACGCGTCATACAAAGTTTACACCGTTTACAAGTTTTGTGCTTTGTTCAACAAGGAAGTCCATCTTATCCTTTTCCTCCAGTAAGCCAAACCAAAGAAATGTGTCAGCCATTTTCCAAAATCCAAATTTCTGTCCTTGTAATCGACACTAAGACCTTTTTACTGAATTTTAGGCCACCAACTTTGTCCAAAATGAAAGTAAACCTACCAGCAACTGATTGTAGCAGCATGACATGTTTTTGATAAAGCAGTATGCATTGCACATTCAAAGTCAATATGAACTGCCTCGGGATGGAGAGTTAGTCTTCGGGTAGTGCAAAAATCAATTAGCAGATCCCACATTTTGATATAAAATAAATAATTTATCTAACATATACTCAAATATTTATAATTTACTACCAGGTAAATTTGCGGAAAAGTAATAAATACAATTTCTGGAAACGTATACTTTAAGTTTCCGGAAAGTAGTATTGGAACTTTGAAAAATTAGCGGAAACGCAATACGCCCCACTTTTTTGATAAATAATGAATTAAGTTAAGATGGCTAAATGGTGAAAAATGAATAAATTGTAATGCTGTATTCATTGTATTATTAATGAATTGAAACATTTTTTAACAAATTTTCAGTTGGAATTTTTTTTTACAATTTTGAGATATTTGTACTTTTAACCTGATTGTCAGTTTGAAAATACCAGAAGTGTAAATTGTAAGACAACTCTATTAAGAACCAACCATCATAATGTTGTCACTCCACTTGACTTTAAACTTAAAGCAAAAAAGAATCAATATTATGACTCATGTCGCTTACTTTGTCAACCTGCATAATAATTTTTATAACTGGTTAAAATGTTTGAAATTTTAATTTGCTTTGTACAAAACCAACGCCGTAAGTTGAGTTTTCACCATGCTAGTTCCCATTTAACATGTCTCTGAGAAAACATGTCTTTCTACTTAGACATATTATTCAAAAGTACCATTTTAAGACATAGGTTGAACCCAGCATGGGCTTTAATCCACTAACTCTTGCACTCGAGGCCATCCTGTTTCCAGGAGACTGCAGAGCAGTTTTTCTCTGTTGAAAATTCATCATAATATGGTGTACTGAATGTATGTATACAACAATAAAATAGACCTGAGGAATGAAAATATGCTGATTTTAAATAGATGCACATATTTCTGGAATAAAATTCATAGTGCTTGCAATTGATTAGATCTATACACCATAAGCAAAAGATTAAGGAGACCAAATTTCCATAAATAATTGGGAATATACAAACCAGACAATCCTAAAGAGAACTGCAGAGAGTAACTACCCAAATTAAATGAACATCAATTATGTAAAAAGTATGAGAATGGTTAAGAATGTGTTGATAACCTATCATATTCAATATAGAATTTAACTAAGTGTATATCAGAAGAAGTCAAGTAACAGTTTTAAATTGGTGCTTCAGATTAGTATCAGTTATAAAGTCATTTAAAAGTTTTCAAATAGATTTAAACGTGATACCGTATTGAATAAGATTTAAATATGATATAAAGTCGGGAAAAAGTATGGTTTTCAAACTTTTAACCAGTCATCATATTTTAGTTGTCAAAATCTCAAGTTTCTGTTGATTATATTCTATTGATTCTGTCAGATTTTAGAGACAGTTAAAGAATGCCAAAGGGAATATGAACCTTAAACTTCTGCTTTTATGTTATTATTCATGTGACAAATTTAATCTTGCATTACATGTTAAAGATTCCTTTTGTAGTTAGGTTTAATGAGTTTGTAAGAGGATGAGTGCTATGAACAGATTTAAAGAATAAGATACAATAAACGAATTTTAGCAGAATGTTCGAAATTTCTTAGCATTTGACATCCATCTTCTAAGTGATTTAATGTCCCATATATTGTCAGTGATAAAGTCTAAAAACCTGAATCTGAGGTCAATACACAACAATAGAGATCATTATTCTTTGGTAGATAAAGAGATTGGTGCCAAATTGACAGACAGAAGATTTCAGCAGTACCTGTTTTCAAAAGTGTCATATTTTTTGAAAGACAATACATATTTACTTATTATTTTTATAAATGTTCAAATGTTCTTTGCTTGAACTCTGAAAATTTTAGAGCAACGTGAGTGGTTAAGAACATTATTGTCTTTAATATAACTTTGACTCAACTGAGGGTTATCTGTATAAATTTTCTTTCGTATGTATCAGTCCACTGAACTACTGATAACTCCACCTAACATAGTAAGGTATTATAGTGATGCTCATGTATATCCATCTGTATGTCCAATGAACTACTGATAACTCTACCTAACATAGTTTGGTATTATAGTGATGTTCATGTATGTCCATCTATATGTCCACTGAACTACTGATAACTCCACCTAACATAGTAAGGTATTATAGTGATGCTCATGTATATCCATCTATATGTCCACTGAACTACTGATAACTCCACCTAACATAGTAAGGTATTATAGTGATGCTCATGTATATCCATCTGTATGTCCACTGAACTACTGATAACTCCACCTAACATAGTAAGGTATTATAGTGATGCTCATGTATATCCATCTATATGTCCACTGAACTACTGATAACTCCACCTAACATAGTAAGGTATTATAGTGATGCTCATGTATATCCATCTATATGTCCGATGAACTACTGATAACTCTACCTAACATAGTAAGGTATTATAGTGATGCTCATGTATATCCATCTGTATGTCCACTGAACTACTGATAACTCCACCTAACATAGTAAGGTATTATAGTGATGCTCATGTATATCCATCTATATGTCCACTGAACTACTGATAACTCTACCTAACATAGTAAGGTATTATAGTGATGCTCATGTATATCCATCTGTATGTCCACTGAACTACTGATAACTCCACCTAACATAGTAAGGTATTATAGTGATGCTCATGTATATCCATATATCAGTCCACTGAACTACTGATAACTCCACCTAACATAGTAAGGTATTATAGTGATGCTCATGTATATCCATATATCAGTCCACTGAACTACTGATAACTCCACCTAACATATAGTATGGTATTATAGTGATGCTCATGTATATCCATCTATATGTCCACACAAGAGGAGAAATCCTTAGCCAAATGTGTTAAATTTTCTATGAACTTATTTTCAATGAAATACAGGTTGGTTCCTTGTTTGTCAATTTACTTTTTTTACCAGAGTAATGGCCCTTGAATGACAAAAAGAAATGTAATTTACTGGTTTCAGAATGATAGAAATCCCTAGCATATGAATAGAAATTTTTATGGATTGCTATGGACAATCAATACCTGTTGGGTTTGATTTCTGTCAGTTTCACTTTTACTGTGATGGCCCTTGATTTAAAATCAAAATGCAGTTTAATAATTTATTGGATAATAAAACCAGTTCACTTTATATCCTTTTATTTGAAACAGAAAGATGAATGGAACTGTAATTAAATGTTTGGTGACCAAAAATATAGGTTTATTCCATTTAGAAAATATGATAACCTTTCATAAAGAAAATATGTAGGAAGTTTAAAGACTTATGAGCAGCGTTTTGGTTTTATGCCATAGAAAAAATTTAAGGAAAAAGAATCATTTTTTCATGAATTATCTTTCTTTGTTTCAGTTTTGAAGACATTGCTTGCCTTGGAGAATCTACTAGTCTGTCAGAAATCTCTCTCGATGGGAACCCTATCGCTCAGGAACAGTACTATAAACAGATTGTACTCAGACATATGCAACAACTTAAGCAGTTGGACATGAAAAGAGTTACGGTGAGTAATCAGTGAAAATTTGTAGGGGCTAATAGTGGTTATGATCAATATAGTTCAATACTTTGAACAAAGAAAGTGAGGTTAAGGGGGATAACTTATCATTTTATAAGCCAATATTTGTGAATTTAAATTATACTGATCGGAATTTAGTGATTTTGAGTACTGTGGATTCATTTATTTTCGTGGGAACCAATTTTCGTGGATAGAAGAAATTTTGCCTTTCCGTGGATATGTGATTTCATGGTTTTGCCAAAGTCTGCATACAACCTGATAGAAAATTTGTAATTCGTTGAACATAGAAATTCGTGGTTCACCTGTACCAATGAAAACCACGAAAATTGGTAGCCAACAAATAATAATAATTCCACAGTACTTTAAATTCAGAAATTATTGTGTGCATTAATTATTGCGAATTTTGAAGACTGAATAAAAATGGGAGGTTAATAATTATGATTTCAGCAAAAGCTTCATACAGATGTATGTATCAGATATCAGAATGCGATTTCTTATTATTGCAAAACTCACGCAATCACATTATTTGCATTCTTAAAAACCTCGCTATTATTTCCGAATTTTCAGTATTTGGATAAGATTGACCAATGAATTCGAATCATTATTATTGTATAGTACTGGAAAGTTTATAAAAGTAATTGTGAATTTATTCTCTACCATTGCATTATATATCCAATAAGGCTTGAAAATTGTGAGGACAACAGAAATGGATTTCTTATGATTTAAAAAATGTTGGCTTACAATAAAAGGATTATTGCACAAAGTTTATATATTATTTGTGCAAGCTCTTCCAATACAGTATTTTACTTTGAAAAATATTCACCAATATTAGTCTGTAGTGCACTAAACCTTTTAATACATGAACTTGAATATCCAATTTTTAAAAGATCTGGTTATGATGCTTACATAATGTATACTGAAAATCTGTGATTGAATATTTGTTTTGAAATACAATGTACTTGCTATTAGTTATACATCATATATATGTATATATATTCACATGAAACATGAATATCTGTTTTATTCAGATTGGTACATTGCATGTTTTGTCCTTGCACTTTTATTTACAAAATATTGGCATGTTTTGTCTGTAGGATTCTGCTACTTCTGTGTCTAGTCGTAGGCCTGGACCATATAATCCGCTGTACCATTTAATGTCATTGCCTGGATTTAGATCAAATTTGGTTAGTTCCGGGACCGCCATTCCTGCTGAGAACAACTTACATGGTACAAGTACTGATAACAAGCTTGTTACTGGTAATTTGATAACAAACAAATCTTCTAGCAGCCATTTCACTCCAGCTTTTCAGAGAACACATGTATCATCTTCTGCAGGTGATATGAGTAAAATTGGTTTAGTTGATGACAGTGACAACAAAGGAAAAAATTATCTTGGCATGCCAAGATTTATGACAGTGAAAGCCACAAATTGGGCAGTCAACACAACCGTGGCATCTAAAGCTAGTTCTGTATCTAACACAGTTATCCACACCACACCACAGAGACAGACCTTCTTACCTAATAAAACTGGCATGGCCACTAAACCTCAAACACCTTACACAGTATACAGGTCGTATACTTCAGTAGAACAGTTAAATGATAACAGCCCTAAACCATCCATGAAGAGACACACTTTGAGCCTAATGGATCCCTTGAGTACCTCTCCAATGTTCACTTTGTCTCCTGTTGAAAGTAACGATGACAGAGTTTGGAAATTTGGATCTGAACCCTCTATTCATCAAACTTCTGTCAATGCAACTAGACCTTTTTTAGAGAAGAACTTAAGGAATGGGTCTGAAACTTCTGTTGATCAAACATCTGTCAATGGTTCTTTAGATAGCATTCAAAATGTTAAAAAAACAGCAAGCACAGCATCAAGACCTAACTCTGAATATTCTGAATCTACCCAAAGCACTAAAACTTTGACAGAAACAGATTTGATAAATAGTGCTTCTAGACCTATCTCTGAATATTCTGTAACTAGTGAACAAACTTTACTAGCAGAAGGTGAAGATGTTTCAGAGGCCACAGATACTCTTTCTAGACCTATTTCTGAATATTCTGAAAATAGCAAGACAAAATTGTCAGAAAATATTCTACAAGGCAAAAATGTTTTCAGAAATTATTCTGATTCTGATTTGTCAAGAATCACTGAATCCAAGACAGCACAAGAACATAATGTTAGTTCAGTGATTAGTGATTCTAAAAATCTACTTGAAAAAACTTATGACAGAGAAAAACAAGAAAAATTTATGCCCTTTTGGAAGGTGATTGATAAGAAAATAGTTAGAGTTACTTGTTCTGAAGAAGAATTTGAAAAAATGAAATTAGACAAGGTTTCAGCAAGGAACATGGAAGTACAAAGGTCAAATGTGAAATCAGATTTTAACCTTAATGAAACAAAGGCAGATTCCAAATCACAACAGACTCTCAAAACAACTTTAGATGCAAAAATAGAAGTTTCCAATAGTATGGCCAATCTGTTGAATGATAGTGGTACTAAATCATTCGATAAGGAAGTACAGTTAAAACAAACAGGTGAACAATCTGATAAAAATATTGTTCTTAAGAAAGAAACATCTCTGTCAACAGACAAATATGACATTTCAATAACAAGAAATTTCTATCCGAAAAGTTATGGAATTGACCAGGTTACATTAATTATCCCTAAACCAGCTGAAGCAGTTGAAATCCCCAAATCTACTGGCACAGTTGAAATTCTTAAGTCAGCTGTAGAAGATGAAAAAAAGAAGAGCAAAGAGATAGTAAACACTGAACATACCTTTGACCCTCAGAAAAATAAAGGTCAGAGAAATGACACTAATCAGATTGAAAATCAAGTTAATGGTGAACTACATTCTGTCAAAACAAATAATTTACAGAGCTCAGCAGACAGCAAGCAGTCTCAAAATGCATCACCATTGAAGCCTTTAAAGACATCAGAATCTCTTCCAAATTTATGGACAGCAGATTCAAGTTCATTGGGAAATGTGAATGACAAAAACTTGACTGAAACAAGGGCAAATTCTGTCAGAAAATTGAAGGAGGACCAAAGCAAACATTTATTAGTTAAGGAACCACTAATTGCAGGAAGCCTGGCGCTAAAGTCCGAGAAACTAACCATCTTCAAAGAACAGCCATTACAAATCCAGAGTAAAACAACCATGGCTACTATACATGAAACTGAAAATGCAACTTCCCTAACAATGTCTGTACAAGGAGTTCAGCAAAAAACAGGAATGTCAAAATCTGTTTCTGCTCCATCTCTATCTGCTGTGGCTTTGTCAGAAAATACAGCTGAGAGCACCTGTAGTCCTTCCACATCTTTGGACCTAAGTATAGGTATGTCTTCTCAGCCTGCAACAATGACACTTGGTAGTACAGAATCTATTCCTTCAACACCTTCTCAACCAACTCGTAAAAATTCTGGTACAACGATGGGCCTATCTGTAGTCAAACAGTCTTTTAAGGCTACACCATTAATGTTGACATGCTCTGCTGTGTTTCCAGTAGTTATATCTCCTGTGAGGGTAATATATATGCATGCGTGTGCTGCATGGACAAATTTAAACTAACAGTATGATTACAAATTTATAATTCTTTTAATTTGAAAAGAACTTGTTTATATAAAATATAGGGACAAAAAGGAATGAGGAGTAGGGAAATTGTTTAAATTTATTTATTTTTTTGGTTAAAACGAATACTTTACTCTAAAAGTTTGTGGCTTTATTTTTAAAGCAAAGTCTGCTGTTTTTTCATGGTTATTTCAGTGGTCCAAAAGACAGTATCCTCTAAAAACTCTTATACTACATGTATAACCGTGAAAAAAGTTTGGAGACTTGCTGTTTTTATCGGCATCTGATGTGTCATAGTGATTTTCAAACTTAAAGATATTCTTTATTTTTTTTTTATTTGGTATGGACAGCTGAATATGATGTTAAATTTTGTTTAAGTAGGGAACATTATGAACTAGAAACGGGGAAGTTATGCAACTAGTATTTACTGAACATATTCATGATATGTAGACTTCAATGAATCTGCACTGATTTTATCTCTAATAAACTGATTTGGCATTATAAAATATACCTAATTAATAAAAGGATTGACATTTTGATTAAGTATGATATCATGATTTGATTAATGTGTAAAAAGCTTATTGATTATCTGTAGTTAACATGCATGCATGTATATCATCCTTACATTTATGACACCATGCTTCATGGCTTTCAATAAAATATTCATCAAACTCAATGCTATCTAATGGATGCTGAAAGCATTCTTAACTTTATTAGATATGGCAGATTTTACAGTATTGTGTTCTGCCTCCTACTTCCATGATAAATAATTAAAGAAGGCATTACACGAAAAAAAATTATATTTTCTGAAAATTTATTATCAGTAGATCATAATTCTTCAAAAAAGGAGTAAATAATGTAAGAGATTATTGAATGGTTGCCAAGGAAACAGGATACCCACATTTTCTCCTTTTGCACCCTGGTCCAAAATTTCATTAATTTTGGTTTAAAGCCTTTAACCAGCAATAAAACCAAAATAAATTCTGAAAGGTAAAGGGTTTAGGAAGATATTCAGCATCTTTCACATTACTATTTCTAATATATTAGTGGAAAAAAAATATGTTTAAGATGATGGACATGTGACATATGGAAAATGGGACAAAAGTTTATGTTTTTCAAAGTAAATGACATCTAATACACAGTAAAAAGAATTGAATAAGTATAAAGTTGCATGTGTAGCCAATATTTACTTTTTACTAGTTTAATTTGTGCCAGATTCTTAAAAGAAAACATGTTTTGAATTAAGGCTGTTGCTAATGTGACGGAGACAAAAATGAGTAACGTTAGCGACATTTGGACATGTCACATTAGCAACAGCATCTTTAAAAAATAAAATGTATGCACACAGTCGTGCTTTATAAATGCTTTGAGTAATTAAATTGTACAGTCTGGTTTAGAATATCTAAATATACAGAATGTCATTGGCAGGTGTACTTTGTATCAAATGAATACACAAGAAACCAATTTGTAATAGTAACATTAGCAACATCTTCTTCAGTAATACATTAAGAAAATTTGCTATCTAGATGGGTCGCACTAAATAGGGCCAAAATTGTTACAGGAGGTGAAAAATAAGATTCATGATATCTTTATCGAAAAAGTTTTCAGATGTAACTGAATGATTCTTCTAGATCTGTTCATATCTTTAGTCGTGAACTGAGATGTTGATATGATATGAGTACCAAATGCAATAAGAACTGTTCTTTGTACCAGACTGACACACCAGATTTTATGGATGGATGGATTAATTATTGTTTAACGTCCAGTGTCAACCTAGTATGTGCACATCAGGACGAGAACAAGTTGATGTAATATGATCTCTGCTTTGTACTAGACCGACACGCTTAGATGGATTTTCCACGAAGACACATTATACAGACTCTGTTGCCTCTGTAAGCTGACCTTTGCTTTTACTCCTAGATGCTTTTGGCTTGGATGAGAAGCAGCAAAGACCCAATTTTAATGTCTTATTTTATCTGGCTACGAATTTAACCTGCAACCTTTGGCACTCAAAACAGAAGGGGGATATGGATTATTTATGAAGCACAAGCCAAAATGCCCATGTAATGTCTACCAAGAAACATCAAACAACAGAAGAATGAACAATTTCAAATCAATTCGCAGTGAAGATGGAAATACCATAGTGATCAATGCCTCAATGACTTTCACCATGGATTTTGGTAAAGAAAGTCTTTTGTAGTCTTCAGAACACCTTGCTTTGCCCATTTAATTCATGATGCATTTGCATTCAAAATTCGAAAATACTGCCTAGACTAAGAAGCTTAAAAATATTTTAATGTTTGAAAAATTTATCGTCTCTGTTAGTTCTGGAGGACTGCATCTGAAAGAAAATAAATTGAAAATATTACTGGTATATGAATACAATTTAAAAAATGAACAACTATTAAAATTTTTAAAATGTATTGAAGTACTGCCTTCAAATTTACTTCAATCAAGACATAGTTTTTTGCCGAATGCTTTCAGTATATATGGTAATTAAAGATATGTTGTCATCATTAATTATAGCTAGAACAGTTCAAGTTACCATCTTCTTTTAATGATTACCCGAGATTATGCTAAGATACCCCTGAAAATCAAATGTATGTTTACCATTTGGTAAATTTGTCTGTGAGCAATGACTTTTATGCCAATTTTGACAATTTTAAGAACTGGACTAATTTTGGCAATTAATGAACTAAGTTGTTATTATAAAAATAGAAGATGTGGTATGAAGCTCTTCGAAAAGGAAAGACTATTACCTTCAAATATATATAGTAATGAGCGCCCCTTCATTACTATATTAGACTGTTTTAATTTTCTTATATAACATCACATCAACAATATACTGTCCCAAAGTAACGATCGCTACATAAAAATCTGTCCATGTTATACCGTTCGCATCAAATTATTAAAAGAAATGTATTTTGATGAACTAGAACTTAGAAGACTCAACTGTACGTAAAATATGGTCAAATCTCGTTGGGAGATGAAAAACCAAAACAAAAGTTTCTTAATGTGACATTTAAATGACATTACTTGATTCAACGTTTTGTTGCGAATGTCTTTTTGATGGACGGAATACAATAAAGGACCTCGTGTAACGATATAACAGACAACTTACCTTCTTTGCTTTCCCATTATGTGAGGGAACCGGCTCCGCATCCATTTCTGCAAAGGGCGATATCGTAACTCCTATACAGGAGAGTTACAGATCTAAATATATATTGCTCACGTGACATTGATTTGGACGGAAACGTAGAGCAGTAACGTTCGCAAAAACTAAAACAGCCAATGATATTGATTCCGAAAGTCCTTTGACCCCCTTTCGTCATCAAAATTTAATGTGATTGCTATTTATATCAATTATTTATAAAACCCGAGTTAAAAATAACAACGGGCCGTCTGAGAACCAACAAATAAATTGCGATCGTAACATACCACAATGGACGAAAAAGATGTGACGTTCGCAATAATATTATTAAATTACCTTTTTTAGCCTTTACCAATAAAAATGTGCCTTAGAATTATAATTAAAACACAAAAGAATACTTTTTATTAAAATATAAGTCCATGTTATTAGGCTCCACTTAAAAATAATACTTTAAAATTCCACTCCAAATAAGCTAGATGTCAGTCAAGTAGGTCACAATGTCTATTCAATGTCCAATATTTTGAAATTGAAAACCCACTAATTCTAACAAAAAACATAAACACAGGGTGATTTTTATTTTTATTTACTCAGAAAGACACCTTTTATTAAATAAAATAAGGCATTACTTCATTTCACACTCTGTTTCACAGTTTCAGCAATACCTTTTTTGATGGATACAAAAAAGCAATACTTCCTTTTTATTGTAAAATCTGCCATATATGTTGCATTTTTCATGTTTTTCTTTGCTTTGGTAATATTGAAAAATGAACCTCAGATATGAGAGACTTTCATTCAAGGGAGATAAGCTGTTAAATGTTTAATCAACTTGTCTCATGTTTCAGATATATGGTCCTTAGAAAACTCATTTATAAACTGTATGTTGTCTCTCTATAACGATTTTATTGGTTAATTTAGGACAAAGAACATATTTTGAATGAATTTTTTCAAAGAGTAATTGTGTTATTTACTTGAGTATGTATCTATGTGCTGCATATATATTGATTTCTTGTTGTGTTTGCTTAACATACAGTGTCAAATATTTCATGCTTGTTCAGGACAAACGTGTTGCATAGAGACTATGAAGGTTATTGGTATGAACCTTATAAGAGGTTAGCTTTGTTTATATCATTTTTTTGTGGGTTTCCTGTTGCTCAGTCTTTAGTTTTCTATGTTGTGTTTTTTAAACTGTTAGTCTTTTAATCGTTTTTTAGTTTTTTGCAATGGCATTGTCAGTTTGTTTTCGACTTATGGTCCGAGTACACAGTTATCGTCCTTTGATTTTCGTTGTCCACGAATAAAGTCCCTAGTGTGGACAGTGTGTTGCTTGCCAATTTTTTTAGTACCCCTTCCAAATGTATTCCTTCATGTTTAATGCCTCAAATAGCAAGTAGGGGGATGAAATTACACTGTAAAAAAATTTGGGTCATGAATTGTAAAGTAAAGTAGTGATTTGGTCCAGCTGAAAAAGGTTAAAAATTAGCACTTCGGAAGCTGTCAAAAGATTTCAAGACCCCCTTAACATAGAATTGTCCATATTTTGAGTTAGAGCCGATGAAGTTTTCTATAATTTTGATATAATTTGTCCCAAAAGTAGTACAACACACTGTAAAAATATTATTGAGAAAGCGCAGGTGGGATTTTTTTTATTTTCATTTATTGTCTAAAAGAAATGCACTACGAAATAACTGTGTACTCGGACCTAAGAGGCGAAATCAGTAAATATAGAATCTGTACTTTGGCAACTTCCCTGAATGATTTAATGGTGTCAATTTGTCAGATAGCATGAAACTAAAGGATTTAAACTTTTATTTGATAGAAATTCTGCAAAAATTACCCATTTTGGCATTATATGGTCAAAATAAGCATTTCAAAGCTTTTTCAATTTTGATGCATAAGTGGCATTCTGACTTTCTATGTGACAGGTTTTCCTGTGTCAATATTTGTGTTTCTATGCTTTAACCCAGTTGTATTACTCATTTGTGAACTCTGAATCTACAGAAAATAAGATTATCTCAGACAATATGTGCAAAATGTGTTGTATAAATGACCCTCGTGTAACAGCCTGTTTGGATCAAGTTAAATGTGAGGACCTAGGTACATAAAAGTTGAAGTCCATAATAAAGATTTCACTAAATTTGTATTTAAAGCACTTCACAATGTCTTTTGTACCTGTTTCATTTCACATAGTATCTTTCTTTTCTTATGTTAAATAGCAAGTGGTTCAAATATAAGCCTGCTGAGGCTAAAATTGCATGCGAGTTTTTCACTAAAAAGTGAAAAATCTTTGTATCAGACCATACTGTCTGCAAAAAAAGTAGAATGCAAGAGTCCCTTTATGCTCAGATTTATTGTATCATGTAACCTGAGTATAGAAATTATAAAAAAGACACAAATTTTTATTTCCTATAGCTTCAGTATGCATTTTTAAATGTAAATATGTGCTACGGCCTAAATTGACCCTAAATTATTTTCAGTCTTACTTGGCTTAAGACCCTTTTATACTAATATGGTATGCTATTTGTAATTTTTCTTTCCATTTAAAGTACATTTAATACATATGTAAGGATTATTTATAACCAAAAAACTCCACAAATTTAAAATTGCTGGAAAATAATACATCTTCATGTAAGGCCCCCCTTCATTGGAAAACCTCCATTTTTTGGCACAGGCTCATATAAATTTGACTTTTAAATAATTGTGATAAGTCTGATAAATCAAATGAGTATTCTATTGTTTAAATACATAATATGTCATATATAAAGCCCTTTAAAATGTAATTTTTTGCAATATTTTAATTTTTAAAGCCCCAAATGTTGATAGTTGAAATTTTTCAATTTAAACGTCAAAATTTAACACGCGAAGTTGATTATAGAATTTATCATATTGTCTATAATATATATCCTATTGCCATGAAACTTTGTCAGCAGTCTCATAATTTATTAAGCTTTAGTCATACCAAGTTTTATTAAGATTGGTCAAATTTTTCTATCCTATTAGGTCCGAGTACACAGTTATCGTCCTTTGATTTTCGTTGTCCACGAATAAAGTCCCTAGTGTGGACAGTGTGTTGCTTGCCAATTTTTTTAGTACCCCTTCCAAATGTATTCCTTCATGTTTAATGCCTCAAATAGCAAGTAGGGGGATGAAATTACACTGTAAAAAAATTTGGGTCATGAATTGTAAAGTAAAGTAGTGATTTGGTCCAGCTGAAAAAGGTTAAAAATTAGCACTTCGGAAGCTGTCAAAAGATTTCAAGACCCCCTTAACATAGAATTGTCCATATTTTGAGTTAGAGCCGATGAAGTTTTCTATAATTTTGATATAATTTGTCCCAAAAGTAGTACAACACACTGTAAAAATATTATTGAGAAAGCGCAGGTGGGATTTTTTTTATTTTCATTTATTGTCTAAAAGAAATGCACTACGAAATAACTGTGTACTCGGACCTTATGAGTTTGATATCCGTTTGGTATCTTTTTGCTTCTATATTAGTAAGAAAAATAGATGTGATGGAAATTCTTTGACTCTCTTAAATCAATAAAAACTTGTCTTAATTATTTGAGGATGATTTAGAGCTAAAATTATGTTATAGACATTTGTATATTCTTGTCATATAAAGACCTCTAGATATTTTTTCTGGTTTTTATATGTTGATAGGTTGCTGTCTCATTGACATTACATCCCATTTCTTCTTTTATTCACAGGAAATTATTTTATCAAACAATTCATGGTAGTTCTTCATCTTCATAGTATTTCTTCCTTAATCAGTCTTAAAGTTTAGGCCATCTTATGTTATGTTGCTGCAGACATGCAATCTGATAATTCTTTTTCAATCAGTTCTTTTCAAGGACAACATATCAAAATGTAATGTCAAACCAAAATGGTTCCACATGCCAGTTGTCTCTAAACTCCTTTAATGTTTTTGCTTATTTAGTATTTGGAATGGACTTCAGACCTGTGGTTTGCTCTGTTTAATTCATTCAGCTTATCCAGGCTGTTACAGTTTAAAGTTTGACAATACTATATTTGTATTTTTCTATTGTGAAAGACCAATGGTAACTGAAAATGTTTACTTTGGTAAACTTATAAGTGGGGTTGCTGTCTTATTGATGTTTAACCCACATCTATTTTTATGTACATGAGTAAATATTTTATGTCTTATGATAACATTCAAATAGAATTCACAAATTAATTGTACTAGGTGCTATTATGAAAATTGTAAATAAAAATGTGAAGAAAAACTAGTCCTTGAAGAAATATAAACTTATAATTAAATGTCTGTATATTTAAACACTGTAAAAAAGGTTATTGTATGATGTAAAACATCTCAAACTAAAGATATTTGATGTGATTCCAGAAGAAAGATATTTAACTTATGAATGAAAGTTTGAAATCAATAAATTCATATTTAAAAAAGTGTATGTATCAATAATGGTGTTGCTTTAATAAAAGTTTTACAACTGCATGCAATTTTCTCATAAGTAATTGGTGTGATCAATAAATGGCCACTAATAGTGTTTTTCATAGTTATAAAGTTTATAACATAAGTTAATTGCTTCTTCTTTTTTGGGGGTGAACATTCAAGTTAATTGTTTTGTCAGAGTTATGGTCCTTCTTTTTTTAATGTAATTTGAAAAGCAATATCTATTTCACTATACTCCTAGCTAACAAAACTGTGGTATATAGTTATAGAGTGTGTTTCCATCTTCATGAAAACAAACACAAACACTGTCTACTGGAAAAAGGCTCCCGTTGTTCAGTTTGCTTCAGTTTTATACCCTGTAACCTAAGAAACCAGTCCTTAATTTGTCAATTATGAAACATGACATGATGAGTATGCCAAAATGAAGAATACTTGTGTTAAGGTTTTCTCTACCAACACAATTATTCATGCCTCAAAACAACTACCCGAACATTTGTATTGGCATTTTTGGTGATTAATCTTTCTGAAATTGCAGGTTTTCCCATACCAAGTTAAAAATGTTGCTCCATCCACCCCTTCCCATCCACACCCCCACAAAATTCAACCTACTCACACAAACTTTCTTATGGAGGAAACCCTTAAAAAGCATCATTTATTGTCTGGCCTTATTCAGATGTCGGAAACTGAAAAAACTTGAGGCGTTTTTATTTCGAAAGGATTTCGTTGTAGTAACCTTATTAATCTTAGTCTTACCTTGTGAAAATTAAAATGAAACTTTTCATATTGTTTGAAAAACTACAATTTAAATAACAACTAACACCTCAACATCAAATATTTTTTTAAATGTTGACCCTAGAAGAGGAAGAATGCATTGAATTGTAATGATTGCTATAAAGAAAGAGTGTATTCTTGTTTCATGACCTGCAAATATAGGCATATTGAATGAAATGCAAATATAATATTCAAAGAATTTCCAAACATTGTGCGATTAGCCATTCCCCTGCTGGTACAATATTGATCATAAATTTATTCTTATATACAGTTGAATTTCTTTCACAGGAGGAAGAGAGAAGGATAGCATTAGTGATGGCAAGAAAAGATGATGAAAAGAAAAAGGATATAAACAAAACACAGATTTTAAAGGTAACAGTGTTAATGAATTTTTTCACTTTCTATTTGGTGAAAAATATGGTGTTCCATAAACTTCTGTTAATATCAAAGTACAATGTACCTTTAGTGTGTTTGAAGTAGACGAGACATTATATATTGAAGTATAATATTGCAATTTTACAGTTTATTTAGGCATCCATAGTCTTTGAATTTGATTGTGTTCTTGAGAGCTAGTTGAAATCATGCATATAAGTTCATCCAAATTATCTATATTTGAAAGAAATCTCTGACAGTTAAATATTTTCCAAATTTTTATCTTGATTATAGTTCTCATAATTTGTGTATGATGTTGTATGATAAGTTTCTGCTACTGTACCGACTATTGATAGAGTTATGGCCCTTGAACATAGATATCATGTATATATTTTTGCCTCTAGAAATCACCTTGATTTCACCTCTAATTATAAGTGCACGTTTGCTTTTCAATAAATTCTATGAAACAGTTAGTTCATTACAATGTTTGACATTAAAACTGTAAATGAAATGCATTAAAAATGTGTACAGTAATTGTAGCTTATGATCCAATGCTGTATGAACAACACTTAACAAAAACTGTGTAAATGAGCATTATTCTTGTGAAAATTCAAAACATTCAGAAGAACATTTTTAATCTAGGTTCAGGGGAGATTGTCCATACTTTGAAATATTTTTTCTTCTATGGAATGAATTTTCTGAAGAAGAAAAAACATCAACCTTTTTCAATTCCAAATACATGTTTTAAGTTTCAGCAATGCGGATACTCTTATAGAGTATAGTGATATATATAGCATACTTCAAGCCTTCTGAGATGCCCCCTCTGAAACAAGATTACCTTTCCTTTCCATGGTCACACCTTCAAATGATTTATGAAAAACAGACATAAATCCATAAGAAACAGACTGCTACACGAAAATATTTTTGTAAGACGAAATTAAATAACAGTTGCTCTTACTGTTACCATTATAAATAATCATATAAAAGTCATTGTTATTGACTAATTCTGTGATAAATGTCTGGGTTTGCAGTGAATGGATTTTATTGGGATCAATTGATAATTAATCTACTATTTGTTATAATGGGCGAATAACAAATTGTTTCCTGTCGGAATGGAAACATGGTCCTGATTTTTAATTGTCTGTGTATTTGTACATGGGAGTCTTTATATGAAATTAAGTTGAAGGATGGTCAACCATAAAGAAGTCAAAATGACTAAAACTTATGTTAGGTCTGGAGTCAAGGAAAATTCAGCATGCACTAGTTAACCATATATCTTTGTTCATTATTGAAGTCTTTACTTATTGTTAGAATTTACATAAGACCAGTGAAGAATTAAATTTGGTGGTCCATTTCATTTCTTTGATTTAGTGTAGTACAACAGATTATTATAAATTGCTTCGCCGAGCGCAGCTGGATACGACCGCAATGGTCCAACCCTGAACAGTTAGGTCAAAAATGGACACAATATTCGTGCTTGATACAGGTCTGAATTTGGATTGTAATTAAATATATTTGACACATAATAGGTTTCTGACACAGAATAACTGTAGTAAAAGAACTTAGAATTGGTTATATGATTTGAATTTATATTCAATTTTTTGCCTTTGTGCAATACACTATGCTGTTGCCAATTGAAACCCCCCCCAAAAAAAAATTTACCCCCCCTTCCCCTTTTTTTGCAAAAAAAAAAATATTTGAAGAAATTTACTTTTTTCTTTTTAATTTCTGAAAAGAGAAAAAATCCCCCCCCCCCTTTTTCCCCCCAAAAAAATTCTTTCCCTCAAGATATGGTCATAATCTCAATTCAAATTTCCAATGGAGTTTGCAACCATAATTACCCATTTAAATACATCATAAAAGTCTTAAAATAGAAAATGACATACATAATCATAGCTAAAATTAATATTCCTAATTCAGCATTTTTAAATAGTAACTTCTAAAAATAAATTGACAGCTAATCGCTAATCACCTCAAGACAATACAACATTTCTTCATTTCTTTTAAAAGCAGTGTAAGGGAGGTAATCCAAACATAACATTGTCCTTTTTTTTAATTGTCCATTAACCAGGAAACCCTTGTTTTTCCCCCTTTTTTGCCCCTAATTCCTAAATGGTTTGAGCCATAACCCCACAAAGCCAATCCTAACCATCCTTTTGTAGTATGGAAACTTGTGGTATAATTTCAGATAGATCCATACGCCATTCCACAAGTTATTGTCTTGAAACTAGAAAAATACTTATTTGGGCCCCTTTTGGCCCCTAATTCCTAAACTGTTAGAACTATAACCCCCAAATTAAATCCCAACCTTCCTTTTGTGTTTATAAACCTTGTGTTTAAATTTCATAGATTTCTATTTACATTTACTAAAGTTATTGCCCGGAAACCAAATGTCTTCGGACAATGCTGACGACGATGACGAAGACGACGACGACGTGATACCAATATACGACCTCAAAATATTTTGCGGTCGTATAAAAATATATGAATATGCTGTAAAAGGAATTATATTATTTAAGGTGCCTGTTATATATCATATTAAAAGCTTGCTTCATAATCAAACAAGAGCAGATTTAATCCATGGTTTAGAATTAGGTATAGGGTATGGAAATAGAAGCCCAAGCATCAAATTTTTCTCAGTCTTGACAGTTTTGTTCAGTTGTATTAAAATTTGAGTCATGAATTTCAACTATCTGCTAAAAAAGCCTCCTTTATTAAGTTTCTTTTTCTTCCTGATGTAAACCCAGGCAAAATATAACTAACAATACAATATACAAATACTAGGGTAAAGCGAAAGTTATATACATGTATCAGGTTGTTACACATATAGCTGGAGGTCAGTACCTTGGTAGCCAATGCATGTATCTTTCTTATGACAGTTCAGTGTCATACTTGAGAAATAAGGAATTATTAGAAATATGAATGCATCTTTAATGGGCATTTTCTCTGTATCTGTGTCGACACTCTTTCTTAAGGATTCAGTTGGGTTTTTTTTTTTTTTTTTGATATACATCTTTTGAACTTTTATAATTTGTCATAAAAAATTAAGTCTACAAGAATAAACACATCCTCAAATACATGCAAGGAAGTACCTTTTGTTTGTTTGCTTATATTGTATACAAATATAAGACAAACCTATAAAAATTGAAGTTCCCTGAGTATATTTACATAAAACAGAAACTAGTGCAAATGATATCATTACGTTTAATGAGCTGGCATTTAGCAAAAGATTAGAATACTTTTATCCATGTCCCGTTTTATATTAGGGATCAAACGTTTCATTATATTATTTCTGTATGAATTACTCCTGATTCAGAATAAAAGGTCCAATGAACTATAATTTAGTTTCATGCAGAGTGAATTTTTTTCTCCAATTACAATAAGTATGATTAATAACAAAAGGAAACTGTTTGAATAATTTATACTGTAAAATATCAGCTAGCGGTAACAGTGAAGGAAAAAATATGCACTGACGTTTCATATCTTCTGTTGACCTGAAATAAACATTGTAATGATGAGCGCCATAAACAAAACAATAAAGATATTGGATTGTGTATAATGTGAATGGAATATATTATGTTTTAAACCGTGTTCAAATTATCCTCTATCAGAAATGGGATAGTGAAAGTTTAGACTTTGAAAGTTGCATTTTGTCTTCAATTGGATTTTTTTTTCTGGGTTGTTTATTGGATATAGGACAACTTGTTTTGAACTTTTTTGCAATGAAAATGTCATCGGAAGTCCTAGTTCTAAATAGAATTGCAGTAAGTTGTTTAAATTTAACTTTTTACTTTTTGATATTGTATTGAATTACGACTTGAATATGTAACTTAAGTCATTGTAGTGTAAAGTCAATTGTTTTAAAGTACTTTAAAAAATATTATATTTCTTTTTGTATAACTTTTCATTCAAATAAGTAAACAGTTAATATACAAGCGCCTTTTTGAATGTGATTTAAGTATTGACTAAGTTGGTATGATGATAAGCAATGGTCATTTTTTTTGGCTCTATAAACTAAAGGTAAGCTAAACTGGTATTTCAGCTACTTACTTTTCTCTATACAGTCATTAACAGTATTCAGGGGAGAGAATACACTACTTCAAGTTTTAAATCTGAAATTTCATTGAAAATTAATATGTATTATGATCAATGGGTGCTGGTGAACTTTTGATCTGACGTCTAGATGTCATATGGTTGGTTATTTTACATATATTCTGCACTCCTTTTATTCATATAAAAGAATAGTTATGAACTAAATATAAAAGGGACTGTCAACTTAAATTTCAGAAGGTGAAATTGATTGTTAACTTTCCGAAGAAATTCATCTGGTGAAATCAAGACAGATTATATTAACCGACCATCTTGGACCTCAGATTAGTCAAATAATTTGACTAAAGCTGTACGAAATGAATATAAATACAGAATGTATAAAAGTTCATGAAAAAGAGTAAAAAAAACCTTGCCAAATGTGAATATTTTAAAACAATTAACCTTTGATTTAAATGTATAAGTCCGAATGAAAGGGAAAAACTTTTGAAGTTTTTTCAATATAAGTCATTAAAACAAAAGATCTTGTCAATAAATAAATACACTGCAACAATCAATATAAGGAGTGATAATGGAAAATAGGTAAAAAACATATTCAAGATTCAGCTTATATCAGGTAACAGGATGGCAAAAAAAAAAGAAATTGATGCTGAAATAGATATATATTTGCATTTCACTTTGATGTTCCACAAAAAAGTTATAGATCACCAATACTTTTTCTATTGCTATTGCATTAGAAATAATAAGTGTTTTAAATTTTCATAAAAATGACTGACACAAGACATTTTATTGTTTCTACAGCAAGGTACAGAGTAACATAAGAAAATATATGTTTGAAGGGCAGAACACATAAGCAACTCTGATTGTAGGTTGAAAAGTAGACAAGACTAAAAAAGATATTTGCAACCATAATTCACTGATTTGGCTAAAATAGCCATGGTTCATCTGGAACAGAGAGATGTAAGCCAGTGCTAAGGCCCATCTAAAAATAGTAGTGGGAGGCCACATGGCAGAGTGGTTTAAGTTTTCCACATAGTGTACCACTAGCCTGTCAACACTTAGGTTGTGAGTTCAAGCCCAGCACTTGGCAGGTGAATTGGACTCTAATCTAAATTGACTAGGATTTCAATTTTCCCCCAACAAGTCAGTGGCTCTCTCTGGGGACTCTGGCTTCCTACACCAATAAAAAACTAGCCACAGTGAATTAGCAAATAGTGCTGAAAGTGGCGTTAAAACGCCTAAGATCAATCAAGCGATCATTAACTTGCAGTGAGGTGATACATCATTTCCATTCTCATCTAAATTAGATAAAAATTTGACCTAAATCCCAATCTGCCATTAAGGACAAATAGCTTTCAGTTTCGGTCATGACTGGCAAATATGACTGTTTCCAGACCCTTGTATCTAATAAATATTCCCATCAAACTGAATTAATGTTACTGTAACGTTTTTTTATGGAAAATGTTGCATTTACTTGGCTAAAGTGTTACTCAGGATTTTTTTATAGGACCCAGGTGAGTCTTATATATTATATATATATGGGAATGCATCCAAGGTTAGCTGTTGTCATAAGATTAGCAAGTTTGGATGACCAAATATAGATTGAATTGAATTAATTCCAAAGTATTCTGATTCTTCTCATTTACTCTAAAGTTTTACTCTTTTTATTCTAGGAAAAGAAGAGATTAGCAATCAACAATGCCAGACGGCAATGGGAGGTCATGCAGGGTAATATGATTAACAAATCTGGTAAATTGTCACGTACACCAGACTTGTATGCAAATCATGTTGGAAGCATACCAAATGCAGAACTTGTTTCACCAGATGGCGCTGATGAAAATATGGAGGTGGAGTCTATAAATAGGTGGGTTAATGGAAGAAAAAAACATTCTTGCTGTATTTTATTTGATAATATTTGCACCACACATATCTTTCTATATATTTTTATGTTGATTCATTATTTGTGGGAGCTTATTTTTGCTGATTTGGTGGGTAAAGGTTTACCACAAATTTAAGTGTTAAAAAAATGACCTTTCCTTTTAGCTGTATGAAGTTTTTACTCAATCTATGAAAATTGGTTTACTACAAAAATTAAGGAATTTTAGTTTTCATAATGAGTAAATGATTAATCCTTGATTATTGAATATTCCCTGGTAAGTAATAATATATTTTTTTGTTCAAAATATTAAAACTATATTATTATACCCTTCCTTTTCTCTCCAAATTGTTGATGAATTTTCATTTATGATCTATCATCAGAACAATAATAATTATGAAAACTAAAATTAATGAAAGTTGTCAAAGAGACAGTAGCCCAAATACACAAAAAAGACATAGAGGTCAGCACAGTCTTCAAAAAAGGACAAGTATCTATATAATGTGTCAAGCCTTGTCCTAAAGATGCATGAAATATTTGCCACTGGACATTAACAAAACATCAATCAACCAATCAATCAGTGTGTAAAGCCCTTAATTGTCCAAGGTCTAGACAAGTAGTGAATACATTTTAGAGAGACCATCAACAACAAATTTCATATAGAACGACTGACAAGGTTTCTGTCTGGGTACAGGCACATGGTCGTGGCATGGTGCTTTCAACACCAAATTTAATTGACTCTAGGTTTGCCAGTTTACCAACTGAAGGTCAGTGGTTATCTCTGAGCCTTCTGTCTCCTCCAACAATAAAACGGGTTGCATGATATAGACAAGTATGCTGTAAGTGGCATTAAACAGAAATAGCCAATCAATAAATCAAACCCACTGAAATTGGTTTTTTACTTCAACTACACTATAGAGTGATTGTTTTATCCAGTTTTATGCTGCGACACCTCAAATAAAACAAACAAACAAACAACTTATTGTTAACTTCATTACTAAGGCAGTACTTGTACTTCTCTTATCATGATAACCCTACTCATAAAATCTCTATAAATATAATTGACATAAAATCCTTTGTTTATATAAACTCTTAAATCTACATTAATCTTCAAACAGACCATTTGATATAATGAAACTAAGCAAAATTTAATATGTAAAGAATATATTTAAACTGAACAATATTTTAGTATAGTATTATATGTTTGTCCTTTATAAATAGATAAAGGTTTAAAGATTTATAATCTTTGACATGAAGTTCATTTGGTTATGTTGACAAACTCCATGATCACTTTAAACCAAGAGTTCTCAAAAATGGTTAATATTGTGTGCAGTAACCTAAAATATCTTTGTCAGTTGGCTTGTTACATAATTTTGATAGTTAATTTGCCGTCTTTAATTTTAAATCTGTTCACACATTTCACTGGTTGTCATCACATGTTGAAGACACCACAACTGGTTCAGTCTTTGCTACAATTGATAATTGTTACTATGTATAAAAATGTAACAAGTTCCCCTAAAAAGATATACTGTGTTCCTTCATTTGAATTGCCCATCTCAAAAAGTGGTCCCTGATTTTTGCCTATCATTTCAAAAAATTATGTAATTCCTATTAAAAATGTAAAATTATTCTATAATAAATATAGCAATACAAAGAGGGTGCATGCTCTCTGCATATTTTACACTTTCATTTATTTTAGTCTATTGTTAGTCTAAATACATTCTCCAATCCTTCCTGTATTTAAAGCAGGTCCACAAGCCTCACATTGTAAATCTGTGAATTTCACTATCTGGAGTAGATAAATATAATAATAAGAGATTAATGAAGTAGAATCTATATATTTTTTTAGACTTCTTAAATGATCTTGTCAAGCTTGTAATTGATCTGTTTTCTTTTAGAACAATTATGCATGGACCTCCACATTTTTGCAAAAAGGTTGCCTTGGTAACCTCTGTATATGCTGTAGACAATGTTTTCCCTACCCCCTGTGTTGACTCGGCCAGGTACAGGGGATTGGTTATATTCCTGTTTAATATTAGCTTTATGTTTTTGCAAAGAAGGTTTTATTTATTTTAATTACTTATTAACATATCTAGGCTATTATTTCAATGTTTTGTTCTTTTTTTATGTGCAAATTTTACTATACTTGGTGCTTGCATTAATTACATATAGTCAGGATATACTAGCAGCAATCGAAGCTTTATTTATATTTGCACAAAATCTATCATTTAGCAATCATAAGTCAGATAGACTAGAGTATTCAATGTTACTTCTTTTTAGTAATCTATTTTTCATTGGTCAGGTGTAAACATTGGGTCCAATGTGAGAGTTTCACAGATATGTACAAGAAGTAGGTTACGGTGATTGCATGTCTGATTAGTTTGTTTGTGTTTAGCCTTCTCCCTTTTTGGTATGCAGTTGTAGCTGCTATCACACACAAGTCTAGTAAAACCTCTCCCTGTTAGTTTGTAGTGCAGAAATATTGTACTGAATATATATGACTACTGAATTTGAAAAATAATTTTCTCTTTTTTTTTCTTTACAAACAAAAATTGCTACTAAGGCATAGGTATTAAACAGAAAATTATCCATAAGAATGATAGTTACAAGCAAACTATAAAGACAATATTTGAGCTAACACCACAATTGAAGGGGACAAATGCTTTTCCAAATAATATTTGGTGTAATCTACTGGTACTTTTATGTATTGCTTTGATATCAGAGCTGCTTGTAACATTTAATGTGTATAAAAATAGGTCATTGCTACCTATATTATAGAAATATATTTATGGAAATAATTTCACTTTCTTTGATTCTTAAGTTCTGATTACATTTTTTTTTCTCCACATTTAAAGAATTTGTGAAATTTTTGCTTCTAGACCAGCTTAACTGCTATTCTTAGTCCCTTTTTAAATTTGTTTGATGCAGGGCTAAAGTTGATATTAAGTCTGTACTGGATGAGGTATGTGGGTCAAAGTGATCCAATTATTTAATCCTGTCTGACTTGATACAAAGGTTTGAATATCTATATAAGACAGTATTACTATGAAACTAGATTATAATGGATACCTACCTGTCTGCTTATAAAAGACTGGTAATTATATTATGGGCAAGGCTGTTACATTTGTACACAGAGTGTAACAATTAAATATCTACCTACCTCTCTGCTTGTAAAAGACTGGTAATTATATTATGGGCAGGGCTGTTACATTTGTACACAGAATGTAACAATTAAATATCTACCTACCTCTCTGCTTGTAAAAGACTGGTAATTATATTATGGGCAGGGCTGTTACATTTGTACACAGAATGTAACAATTAAATATTTACCTACCTGTTTGCAAGTTAATGATAGGTAATTTAATGAGTAGGGCTACAACTTTTACATGCATGTATGAAAACAAATTGTTACAAAGTTACTCTGAAGTGTCTCACATTTTGTTTGATTTTATAGCCGTTTTGATAATTTGAAATAGAAACCTTTCTGTTTAGCAATCTTTATTTTATCCCAAATGATACAGGCCTTTTTTTCAAAAGCTGTAAAGTCAAGCCCAATATTTTTTTTCGTCAAATAAGTCCGTACATTTCATTGACCTATCTTCAATATAACATACTTATGGGATGAGGAAAGTTACAGGTCAGCATTGTATAGTGTATAACAACATAACCAAAACATTTATTTGCCTGTGCTGCTTCTTCATGGAAGGTTTGGTATAGAATTAATAATTAGCTGTTACATAGATTTTAGGGCTTCAATGTAACACATCAAAAACATATTCATTTGTTTGAAAAAATACAAATTGTTTTTTTTTTATCTAATATTTCTATAAGAGTATATTTTTGTGATTGTATGATTGTATAGTGCTGTCATCTTTGTTATGGACATTGTTGTCATGGTGTATGTAGACACTTTACTTGTTTATTATGCAGTGACCTTTTATCTTGTTGACCAGGCTCCCAAAAATTCTGCACACAGATCTTAGGCATTGAAAAAAGGACTGTATTGAAAATTTGAGTTTTGCAATATACTTTGTTAATCATTACTTTCCAAGATACTTGGTGATTTTATTTCTATTTTTCTTCCTTTTTAGATAATATAATTTTTTGATTGGTTTTTTTTTTTATGGGTACTCAAAATATAGTGAGTTCAGTAAATTACTCTTTCTTGCATATTACTGTGTCAATCACATTACTGTGTCCACACTCAGTTTAAATATACACTTGCTCAATTTTCTTTTATCAGTATATGCAGTCATTAAATGCTGCATCTGGTATAGCCCTTTTTATACTCTGTAAATAGTAGGTCGATTAGTTTTTTTTCCAGTCTGTGTATCTGTCCTTCTGTCCAATCATCTGTCCCGTATCAGTTTAAAGTTGAAACTTTGTCCTTTTGTCCAATCATCCGTCCCGTATCAGTTTAAAGTTGAAACTTTGTCCTTTTGTCCAATCATCCGTCCTGTATCAGTTTAAAGTTGAAACTTTGTCCTTTTGTCCAATCATCCGTCCCGTATTAGTTTAAAGTTGAAACTTTGTCCTTCTGTCCAATCATCTGTCCCGTATCAGTTTAAAGTTGAAACTTGTATACATGTACATTATGATGTGAACTCTTAAAAATATTTTAAATTATGGTTTTGACCCAGATTTTGTGGTTCATTGACTTTGTGATAGTATGGCATGGTGTCTAATTGAAACATATTCTTGTTATTAGATGTAATAGAATTATATTCAGATTGCATGATATTATAGTTTTTTTTTTAAATCTTGAGTTTCTCAAACTTTCGGAAAGTATATAATATATAAGTTTGAAACCAATAAAACTAAATATCTGATCTGGGCTGATTTAAAGATAGCACAATATATGAAACATTTTATAGAAAATTAATGGTCATAATCATTTTGAACAGAGTTATTTTCAAATGTATCAGAAAATTGAAATAATAAATAAAAAATATAAGAAATTTTCTACATTTATATAATACCACAGTTTCTTTTTTGGAAAATATTTAAGATTAATGAACAAATAGTAATTGTGATAATGATTAATTAATAATAAAAGAATAACTATTATTAATTGTAAAAGTATCTGCTTGGATCTTTTTTGTATTATATGATTACATTGTAGAAGGATACCAGGTCCTTTAATGTCAATTTTTGGGGAACTTGAAAGGTAATTATAATTTTGTTTTTGAATTTTTAGTTGAATAGAATTGAAGAAAAAACTGAACATGGTTTAGATTGTACAAATGGAATGTTTCAAATATACACATGTAGAGCATTTTGCAATTTTTGGGAATGAAGTATATATTGGATGTTTGTGTATGAAGCTATCATTTAGCAAACTCTTTTGTATGATTTAAAAAAAACATGTTCCTTCTTCCATTTTTTTGTAATCTTTTTACTTTATTTTCTGCCATACTTCTATAAATATAATATACCTTTGGTATCTTTCCCCTCTCTCTCATGTAAACATATTTTGGTAATAGCATTGGTGTATTATTATTTGTTTTGTCTCCACTGTTCAGTTGCTTTCTTGTTCAGTGTCCAGTGAATAATCCAGAGAAATACCAAAGAGGTGGGAAGCTTTTTTTTTATACTTATGAATTAAGTTATCTTTTTTTTTTTTGAGGTGTTGTGGTATTTTGCTTCCAAAAGTTTGCTCTGAAGCATACCTGTCAGATAAAGATTTTTTTTTCTGAAACATGCATCATCAGTATTAAAGTCATTATCTTATTTGTTAATTGCAATTGTAAGTAATTGCAAATTGTGAAATTTTAGTGCTACTACAGTTGTACTGCCTTTCAGCAAAATTGTTGAAGATGGTTTTAGTTGTTTGATTTGAAGTTCTTGTTTTTGTGCTCCTTAAAACGTTTTATTGGTTAATTGGCTTCCGTGGTACCAGCTGAGATTTTGATATTTTACCAAAATCAAAATATTGCTGTGCAAAACCTGTCTTACTGTATAGAGGAAAATATTTCCACTGGAATTTATTTGATAAATTCTAGTCAGCAAAGTTGCTGCATACTTACAGTTGTGTTGGTTATGCACTTTCTCACCATATAAGTCACCATGTTATATTTACAAGAGATCTTCTTTCACCAAATTATATTCACAGCAAATCTCATGGATCTCCTTTTGCAATATTATATATATATATATGTATGAAACCAAATTATGATTAAAGTAGATCTACTGTTACCAAATTAGGGTTAAAGTAGATCTACTGTTACCAAATTAGGGTTAAAGTAGATCTACTGTTACCAAATTATAATACAAGTAGATCTACTGTTACCAAAATATAATTAAAGTAGATCTACTGTTAACAAATTATGTTTACAGTAGCTCTACTGTTAATAAATTATAACTGCAGTAAATCTACTTTTTACAAATTATGATTACAGTAGATCTGCTGTTAACAAATTATGTTTACAGTAAATTTACTGTTAACAAACTATAATTGCAGTTGATCTACTGTTTACAAATTATGATTACATTTGATCTACTGTTAACAAATTATGATCACAGTCGATCTACTGTTAACAAATTATGTTTACAGTAGATCTACTGTTAACAATTTATGATTACAGTAGATCTACTTTCTCCACATTATAATTTTAGGAAGATATGAATAAAAAGAGATGATGGGTATACATCAATGAGACAGTAACCCAATGACATAAATGACAAAATAACATCTAGAGGGCAACATACAGTCATCAACTATCGTTGGATGTCTTTACAATATATCAAACTCTAAATTGTTCATAGTCTACCAAAGTTGTGATAAATTTAACAGAAACACTCTTGGATCTGTCATTCAAATCCATTTCTCTAAATAATATACTGTATGAAAATAAGAAGTTGTGGTATGATTGCCGATGAGACAACTTATCCACTAGAGACCAAATGATGTTGATATAAGCAATGTATCACCACATTATATTTAACAGCAGATCTACTTTCACCATATTATATTTAACAGCAGATCTACTTTCACCACATTATGTTCTTTTTTATACAAATGATATTGTAAAATTGTATTATATAGGAAAATTAATTTGTACTTTAAATAAAAATTTATATTTTACTTTAATCATTTTCTAGAAAGTCACGACTGAGACAATCTCAGTCAGATGAAGAACTGAGGTAAAATTTGTTAGCATGTTAAACGACTAACAAATAGTATAATAAATTACATTGGAAATGTTAATATTAGAAAAATAACCACATAGTTTAAATATACATTAAAAAACCCAAACCACTGCATGCTCTAGTTTACTATCTGTCTGTTAATTCCTGCTTTGAACCTTACTGCATGATTATATATAGCTTATGACCAGTTTTAATACACCCTTTTCCCTCCATTATATTTTACAGCATTACAAACGTCTGGTGTTTTTTCATTGTGTGCTTTGAATAAAATGGTTCGATAGGGTCTGAGAATCCTTTTTAACTTGTGACAGTACTTGATATTTTTTAAATTAATCTATCATAGACATATACATATTTAAAGTAGAAACCATGCATGTGTTAACCAGTTTTTCTTGCAACTCGTCATTTACCAGAGTGACATCTTAGTCATTTTGGTTCAAAATATGATTCAGCTTTTGATAAAATTGTAACAGAATTGACCATTTGCTTGAAATTTGGTTAATATACTATTAGTTTTGGTGTAAATATTCTATAGTTTTGATAGGTAATTGCATTTTGTTATTTGGTCAGTAAAATTTATAAGCCCAACTCACCAACTGATTAATTTTCCATTACATTAGGAATAAATGTGGCATCTTATACTGGGTCTGAATTTGTCGTTAATTTTTTTTTCCAATATTTTATGAAGAATTTTGACAAATCTGATCTACATCTTTTTCAAATAAACAAGACAAGATAATTTTATACTGAAAAAAAAATTTCAGTTGAGTGCACCAGTTCACAAACAGAGCCACATTTGTTATGGAAGTTATAGCATATGACTGAATATATAAATAATTTATTAAATATTTATACAACTTATAGATCAGATGTTATTGTTGAAATATTTTGCCCATAAGTCTGCTCTGGTGTTATTGTTTGAACCCTGTAGTTTATCAAAGTTTCAGTAGAATTTTTCACATTTAGGTTTTAGTTTTTATGTGGTTTAGTGGAATTTTTCATAGTAGAGTATTGTTTAGAACTGTATAAGTTTAACAAACAAACAAAAAGGAAAAAAAAAGAAGATATAACATAAAAAAAACAAAAAAAGCTGTTATGTGCCCCATACATTTAGAATAAATTCCATAAATTTTGTACCTTTGATTAAGACAACTCCTCTCTACCTACCTGTTTTAGAAATTCTTTTCATAATTTGAATGCAAGTTTTTTATTCAGTTCATGGTAACAAAATAATTTCGAAGATAAAATTAACCGCAGTCAGTAAAAAAATTATTTTGAGGAAAAACTGACACAGTCAAAGGGAACTAACTCGAGTATTTTCATTCCTTACCCTCTGCCATTTCAAATTTATCATAGGAAACTGTAAACACATAGTTTTTATTGCCCTTTATTATGTCAATTACTTAGGTCAATAAAAACATGTCTAGAGTAAAAATATATTTACTGCATTATCAGAAAATTTTAACTTACCAGTGAAAAATTTTACATGTATTTTACTACTTATATATACAAATGAATTTCACTTTCAGTGAGAAACAATGTAGTAGAGGAAACAGCCGACCAAGCAGTTCACATAGCAGTACAAATATTGATTTACCTGATATCCCTAAAGAACGACCAAGGACTAGTAGCAATTCACGCAAAGTCGATGGGACTAAAAACCTTAAAGAAACTATTATATTTGGGTAAGTGAAAGAACTTAGTTTCTCTTTTTATTTATTTATATAGTTTCATGGTAAAACAAGTAGGGAGATACAAAAAAATAAATGATGATAAAATGTCAAATTGTAAAAATTCAGTCTAAATTTTCAATGTATTATATATTTTCAAGGATATGAAGACGACAGTTTTCAGTTATCTGAAGATGTCTAATATTGCTTTTTTTAAATTTTGAAAAAATTCAATTTAATTATCTTAATGTACATCTTTTATTTGTAGTCAAGGAGACAACAGAACAGCAACTGATCTCAGTAACTTGGCTGACCTTGAAGGTGACACTTTGACCTTGTATGGTACTCAATCTTTAGAAGCCTTAGACAGAAATTGGGGAATGCAGGCAGCAGGAGCAGTTACTCATATTATATTCAAATTCATAGACTTTGAAGATATTGCTAAACAGTTATATAAAGTGAGAACAAAGTTTCCAGGTGTTCAGGTTAGTATCTGGGGTAATAACTATTTCATATTTATGTTCCCCACCACAATTAGCAGCAGACTTTTATTATATCCCCACTCTAAAAGTATAGGTTATATTCATTCGCCTTGTCTGTCCATTTGTCCATCTATTCGTTCAACAAATATTTTCATCACACATTTTTCTCAGAAACTACCAAACAGATCAGCTTCATGTTCTTCAGATCAATCATACACCATACTTCCTGTTTTCATCTACTTTGAATTACGAGTAGGGCATGTTTAATACGACAAAACATGTATTCTTGTTTATTTTTTGGTTTACAGGAATATTCATACCCCCAGCAAACAAAGGGGTGTATAGGAATCAACGAGTTGTTGTCTGTTTGTTTTCCTGTCAATTGCCTTGTGTAACTTCAGTTTGAGTCCAAATTTTCAATAATTTATAACAGTTTTTAGTATAGTTAACTTTGGCTACAACCCCTGATTCAGTAAATTGTTGTGTCTATGGATTCAATATAAACAATGGCACCTTTTGGTTTTAGAACATTCTGGATTGTAGGTTGGGGACAAGGATTTCCAGCTGCTTTTCAAACATAAAAAAAAGCACAAAATCATACTGTTTTGCCTTGCAGCAAGGCATTTGAAATAGATTTTTATAAGAACTAGATTGTTGTTTTTTTGCTATTTTATGATTCAAAGCAATATTTCAGCAAAAGTAATTATTATTGAGTTTGAACTTTTACCATTTTTGGCAGTGGCTCATTTTGATATGATTATGGTCTGTATATATCAGAAAGCACTTGTGTTAATTTCCGACTGACATAAGTATCCAAGTAAGATGTTGAATTGACATGCCTTCCCTCCCCTACAAATTCACTGTTTTGCATTTAAGAGTTTTTCATAATGAGTTTTGATTCTATAGTGCATAGCTCTCATTTAAGACAAAACTGATGATCCATCACCTTTTAAAAAAAATTATTGGCAGCTTTAACATAGTTAATGCCTGTATAGTAGACCACTTTCAAGTTTGCTGCATTTCTGTCAAAAACTTTGGTTTTAGTGAACATCATTCGTGCGTTTAGGGGCATCGTCACTTCCTTCCCATGTTGAGCAAGCGGTTGAAAAAATATAATACTGTATTGCACGAATTATTGGGCAAATTAAATTCTTATAATTGATAATCACCACTGCTGTCATTAGGGAATTGTGATTAAGTACCTATGGAACAAACATTATTTCTAGTTTATCCTGCATAATGTTGATCACGAAGACGCTTGATGAACTTTAATAATGCAGAGATACAGGCGATCCCCTCTATCTGGTAAATGACGTCATAAAGGCACGCATAATTGACAAACTTTTCCTGTGAAGGACATAAATCAAAAGTGGTCTATTAAATGATATGTTAAAAAAAATATGCTCATGGAGAATGTGATGTCGTTAATACACATTCTGCTATAAAACATCAAACATATGAGTTACACAGGCTCCTTGGAGCCTCTATTTTGAATAGTCTCAAGTAGTTCAAAGATTTAAATTCAATTTTGAAATCTCTAGTTTGACATAAAATATATTTTGTTAATCCAAAAACAAACAGTTTACCTATGTAACAAATCTAACGCATAGAGTAACAAAACTTAGAACAAATATTTAAAACCTTGGACTAAACGGTAGTTTCTTGTATTGAAGTGAAGGATTTGACCATTTTAAGCCATAAAGAATTTAAATATATATAGATTTTACTGTACATTCGAAATGAGACTCAGTAAAAAGAAGTTTTTGGAATTTGGTGACCTCTCTCACGACTGATTGATAATTATATCAACAAGAGTGTCCAATATTGATTGACACAGATAAATCAATTGTGAAAGGATTTCTAACATTGGTTGTAAGTTTCATAGTTACAAAAATATTATTCAGATTATGTAATTGTTTGCATTTTTTTATTTTAATCCATAAATTGATTAAGAACTTTTCCATTGAATATTCAAATTTGATAGAAATGAGTTTGCACAGTTACAAATAAGAAAATATTTTGGTATTTTTATTGATTTAAATAAATTTAATAGTTCAAGATTATAATGATGTGCCAACCTTAGATGCCTATTTTACTATGATTTGAATTATGATTTATGGAATTTCTTGACCTGTGAAATATAATCAGGTGAATTCTTTTCTATATGCTGGATTTAATGATATTTGGTAAGACAACTTTTGGTGTGTTTTTTTTTATCAATCTTAAATTTTAAAGTTTTTTTTTCATCTCTTTTTTTGTTTATAAAAACTGAAATTAAGTGTCATTTTGACAAATCGTGATGATCAGACCCAATAATTTGTAACAAATGGTGAATTTTATCAAATCAAATCAAATACCAATTTTCATCTTCAGTCTTCAGTGTTTTTACCAAAGAAACGAACGAGTAGATTAGCAATACCTTTTTCATGCGCAGTTGTAAAAAGTATCTTCTATGGCATGTATATTTAACTTATATATTGATTACTTGTGTAACCAATACATTGTAATTATAATTAGAAATGCATATTTCATATTTTTTTCCTTGATTTAAATTTTTAAGTTACAGAACTTCTTAATTTTTTTTATAATTTGAATATGAGGATAATTATATAAATATTTATTAAAGCACAAAAAAACCTTTAATTACTGAAATTGTAGACGTTTCAGCACAATTCTTTCTTGAATACATACAACAATTAGGGAAAAATTACAGCAGTGATTTTATGTCAGTCAAAGGTCTTTAAATACATATTTATGCCTCATTATATGTATAATGAGTGTATATATTTTAAAAAATGTTTTTGACGGGTTTAAATAAATAAGTTAATGTTCGGCCTTAGTAAATAATTCCATGTAAATGAGATATTATAGGTCGTATGGTAGACATCACAGTTAATCTGTAAAATTAATCTGGAGATAATACAACGGATAATAGATTTAAAATCGGTGTATTGATAGGGAGTTCTCATACATACAGTGAAGTATAGATTTACTGAATAAAAAAAATTACTAAATTGTGTTCTGGATTATATTTTGGGATGCTAAAACACAGAATTCTTCTTTTTCAAAATGGATGTTTATGAAAGAGTATTGTAATGAATCTAATGGCTATTTGAAGTTTTTTCGTTATTTTAAAATGTGTGATTGATATAGAAGTGATATGTGAGTATAAACTGTAATTGATTATCAATTAGCGATTATGATGAAATGGTTGGCTTTGTTATCTGAAAACAGATTCATCTACGAGTTGAAATTTTCAAAGTGATTATATCATGTGGATCTTTTATATCTTTAGGTAGGATCCTCCTTTAAGATCTAGACAGAATCATTATTTTTTTCTTAACTTTTTAAACTTATCATTCATTTTCTATTTCGTCAGTGTCTTTTCATTCTATTAAACATGTCTTTTGTGTGTATGTAGAAATAAAAAGACGTGATATGATTGCCAATGAGACAACTATCCACCAAATACCAAAGGACAAGGATTTGAACCACTTAAGTCACCTTACTGCCTTCAACAATGAGCAACACTCATACTCTATACTTTAAGTTATGAAAGGCCCTGGGATTTGAAGCATTTCATAAGAGAAAACCAACTGCCTGATTTATGCTAAAACAATAAATGAAAAATGATTATTGCAGACAGCAACCAAAGATTTATTTCCAATCAATGACAATTTTTAAAAACTTTTACCATTTTTGGTTTTTATCTTGAAAACGATGATAGATAGAGATAATCTGTATGTAGCAAAATTAATAAAATGCAAGTAGGGTCATTAAATATTTTGAGGACTGCATAGGGAAAGGTCATTTTTATTTTATTATGGAGGGATGTGTAATTATCCGAATTTCATTTGACCATCAATTTGGCATTATTAAACAAGATGAAAAATTCAGGCTCCTTAATAGAGCCTAAAGTTGTCAATAAATATCAAAATTTCATGTTCATGGAGAGTGACTGCAATAACTGCATGATCTTGACGTTATACTGGGTCAGAAATTACAGTTTTGGATTTCATAAACCTAACACCAACCAATTTTCTTAAATCAATTTAATTATTCAACTATTACCTATGTAGTCTATATATCTCTTTACCTCTTTTAACAATAGTTTTCTTTTTTTCAGACATTAACATTCAGTGCTACAAATATAAGAAGTTATCAGCAGATCAATGCATTATCTAGCGTGAGGAGATTTGATAATTTGATAGTAGAAAATGAGGGAAATCCTATCACCAAATTCACATTGTGGAGGTCTTATGTTGTCTTCAGACTTGCTCACTTTGCCTTGAAGAAAATCAATGATATGGAGGTGAGTTAGCTCCCTTTTATTTTAAATTGAAACACATTGATAATTTTTAAGAAAAGATAAGATATATTTACTTTAGTCTGAGATTACTCTGACGTCTGACAGACTTTTTAGAGATTTGCTATTGCTGTTGGACGTTAGAGGGCAGTCCAAATAGAAAACAGAGAAATTGCAGACCTAGACATGGGGCAGTAAGTTGTCAAGCATAGAAATTATACACCATTTATTTTCTAATTGACTTAGCTCCACTAATAGTTATCTTTCATTCTCCCACTACCCTCTGTAAAACAAACGAAAGCTTTATTTCCCTCAATCACTCCATTTTGTCTACATGCTTACACTTTGAACAAATTGTCACATGACTGCATTATTTCATGGAGTATTATCATCTATTATTTCAAATTAGATTTGAATTCAACTTTTTCATTGGTGTTAAAATATGGTCATACATCAATTTTTAATCTAAAAAAAAAAAATGAAAATGGCAAATATTGAATGTACAGAATTTTCTTTGCTCCTGTTTATTTTTTAAAGTACACCTGAAGAAAAAAAACCATTCTTGAAATCAATGAAATCTATGAAATTTCTCACTAAAAAGAACTATATTGGAAATACAATAGCTTAAGGGCCAGAGGTAATTTTTTGCATTGTGGTGTTTATGCATTTAATATGAAAATAAGGAGATGTGGTATGATTGCCAATGAGACAACTATTCACTTCACCCAAACTCAAATGAAGTGGATGTAATCAATTTTATCTTACCTCCTATAGATTTCTGGGGATATGATTGGTTAAAGGACTACATTTGGTGACTACATATATTTGATATAGGGTGTCCTAAAAAATATGGGGTTAGTTACCATATAGGGTTAGTAAGGAGTTACTTCCCTTTCAAAACCAAAAAGAAATCTGAAAAGTTTCAACAGACGAAGAAATTGATAATGAACGATTGAAATAAATTCATAAAACAAATTTAAAGCTCACAAGTTGTTATTGTTGGCATTTGTTTTTTGTATTGACAAATGGAAGTAGGTTCTTAATACTAAGTATTGAAGACTTAATCACTTGGATAGGCCTCTAGTCTAAATACCACATGTGAAGATAGTCGGTAAGATAAATTCGTTACACGGTGTGCTAGTGACCTAATACGATATATATGGGGTCAGTAAGTTCCATACAGGGATTCGAGGGTATGGAATTTACTGTCCCCATATATATTGTATTAGGTCACTAACACACCATGTAACTAATAATAAGCAACCATATGTCCTTAAACAATGAGAAAAACCAATACCGTATAGTTGGCTATAAAAAGGCTCCAACATGAAAAATATGAAAAAAATTCAATTGAGAAAACTAACGGCCTGATATATAACAAAACAATTTTCGAAAAACAAATATGATAGACATGAACCAACGACAATCACTGAATTACAGGCTCCTGACTTGGGACATAAAGAATGTGGCGGTGTTAAACATGTTGGTGAGCGCTCAACCCTCACCTAACCTAGGACAGTGGTGTTACAGACCAACATTAGAACAAACTAAAAATCAGTTGAAAATGGCTTAACTCATCAGATCGATACAAAGCAGAAAAACATCTTACAAAAACACAGACAGGACTTGGCAGGGTATTTATACATCCCTAACAACAAAAGACACAGAGTACAGATCTGAAAGTACCCGCAGTTGTTGACAGCTAGTTTAAAGCCAATAACAACTAATAAAAGAAATCATGTATCTAAGACTAATGTTGATTCTATATTAAAGTATATTAATGGTTTTATACAGGTTACAGCAGGAGATATAGTTAATGCTGAGAAGCTGTATGGTCCTGTTTCTCATATAACAACATCACAACTTCCCCAGTCTAGGCTTCTGTCCTTGGTAGGAGAGGCAAGGTATGTAATATAACAACCTCACAACTTCCTCAGTCTAGGCTTCTGTCCTTGGTAGGAGAGGCAAGGTATGTAATATAACAACCTCACAACTTCCTCAGTCTAGGCTTCTGTTCTTGGTAGGAGAGGCAAGGTATGTAATATTACAACATCGGCAAGGTGGGCAAATCCTTTTATGCTGATTGATCCCTTGAATCCTTATAGCATCTTTTACCCAGTATACACACACTTTAACCTTTAACACAACCACCATCTTTTAACAAGGTATACACCCTTATACATGTTACAAGAGGTAAATATTGACAAATATAATATTTCCAAGGCAAATTTATTTTAAATGCATTGCCTTGGGGAAAGTTGAGAAGTACTCTTTATATATGCACAAAAGCAGATATCATAAGTTGTCAGAATATTTTTGAGTTACCTCTCTTTGTATAGTTAGAATCAATCCCAGAAGTACATGTATTTACAAAACAAGTACAGATAAACAACATCTACTGTTTTTGTGCCAAACGCAAATTCAGAGGATTTTTCTCTTAGAGTCTTCCGTTTCTTTCAGTAATGTATGTGCTGATTTAAAGCATTTGTTCCATTACTGCTTTTCCTCACTGTTGAAAATGTAGAACAGACTAAACCTATTGAGTATTTAACATTGGCCCTTAGATTTCTTGTGATATTTATCACAAAATACTAAAGGATGTTTGCTAATAAACCAATCTTGAGTTGTATTTTTTATGAATGAAAAAGATTTATTTTACCAATATCACAGTTGACTCAAAAGTAAGTGCTGCTTGGGAAAATCTGAGTTTAGGTCTTTGAAATGTAATTTGTGAAAAAGATTTATTTCATTTACATTTTTAGAATTCAATTAAAAATGAGTGCTTTAATATTTTCCTGTGAGTACTGTCCTTCTATGATAGTCTGTATATGTCTATCCAACTCTTTAAATGCTCTGATAATATCATTTTTATTTGGGTTTTGATTAAAATCATAGGAAAGATTTATGATAGAAATTTCTAAGTAAAGTTTCAAATTTAGTGCAGCTAGAAACCTTAACAGAACACATTAAATCATCTCCTGCATTACATTTTCTGGGTATGGAAAAATCTGATAAATAGCTATAAAAAATGAAAACGATTGATTTATTAAATTTCATGTACTGAAGTGCTTCTCTGGATATACATTCATCACGAATATTCAAAGCTGATATATTTGAAACCTAAGGTTGTATAAGAACTAAACAGTCGAAGAGCAATATGACCAAAAAGACCTAAAAATATTAGCCAAATCCATCCAAGGTCAACGTTGCCTAAGGGAGTTGAAACTATAATTTCTTAATAATCTCTAAGTTCATGAATGGACAATTTTAGGAAGGTTTGTTATTAATCATGTCAGTACCGAAGTACTGTCTACTGAGCTGATGATACCCTCGGGGACTGATAGTCCACCAGCAGTAGTATTGTCCCAGTGCTGTAAAAAAAGTGCTTTTTTATAAAGTTGCATACTTGTTATCTTGGAAATTTTGTTCTGTTCTTAGAGGGAAGTTTGGCATGGCAAAGTTTGGCAGACATTTCTTTTTAACATAACAACTGTTACTGTTGAACAAACATTTGTAAGTGTCTACAATGAGAAACATGATGCCTGATGACTACAGAAATGTTCATTACAAGACTTACAACAATTATAGTTCAATTAATACAATTTCTCTTCTTTTCCCTCAATCTGACTCAAATCAGCTGTTAGGCTATTTCCTCTCTCCCAAGTTAGATATCGAGATGAACTTACCTAACAGCTGATTTTAGTAAGATTGCTTTTCTGTTAACTATTAGTGAGATTTTCTGGGAGATTTTTTCTGTTAAGGAGAGTTTGACCAACCCCAAGGGATACATATCTAATGCATGAGACTATAAAAAAAATAGTTGAGTCTCCTTTTCCTTCCCCAATCTATATCTTTCTGTTATCCACACATTAGGAAGAGTTAACAGATATGATGCCATCTTTTTATTACAAACTGAGGAAACTTGCAGAGATTATCCTTGCATTTGATTGTAATTAAGCGCTTAATTTTGTACTGAAGTTTATTAATAAATTAAATTAATTGAAGCAGTAGAGTTAATCATCAACTGTGTATTAAAGATACAATAAATTTTGAACTTATGATAAAGGATTTTATGGACCCTGATTGAGGAATTGTAAAAAAAAAATGTCTTTATCAACTTTGAAAAATGTATGCTTCTTTCAGAATATTCAACTTTTATTTATCCTGTTATAATTCTGAGTCATCTTAGTTATGACCAAGAAAGAATAATGTATTTTTGAAATCCAAATTGTATGATGGTTGATTTTTCTGATGATAATCTTTTTTGATGTGATATTTGTGTATGGGTATATTGTAATGGTATACTTTTATGGTTTCTTAAGTTTTGTTTTGCAATGGACTTAAAGAAGAAAAGTTTTATTCAAAAACAAATACAGAGGTTTTAAGATTTTAATGTATAATTTAAATGTCAGAAACTCATTGATTTTAAACATTGTCAGATCCATGTATACAAATCCACTTCAAGGTTCTTTTCCTCCATATCAAACCACTCATGATGGTGTTTGAAATTTTCAAGATCTTTGGCACAAATATTTCAGTTTTGATAAGCAGTTAGGCGTCTCTCTTGTGAAATAATATAAAAATATTTTTAGAAAATTGTAACAAATTCTCTAAATAATATTTTTTGTCAACATGAATACATTTATTTAGATATTTGAATTATGTTAATACCTATGACAAATAATATGATAAAGATGTAATGTGTATTTGACAAAGGATTTAAAAGGCGGGAACACATAGTGACAAATGACCTGTAACAATTGATCTGAAATCAGTTTGTACTGTGAAATACTGAAAAAAACCATATTCATATTTATCTAACGTTTTGCTTCTTTAACATAAAGTTAAATTTATTGTCAGTGAATAATATTTTGTTGAAACACAGCCCAATTTGAAATTTATTTAATCAATGTAATCATGGCTAAGTTTTGACTTTGTAGACCAGACTAATTATACCCGAGATATTATTGATATCAGTTATGAACTGTAGCGGGGGATCTAATCATCTCCTTGTAGTTTGAATCTGCTATTACGAAGCAGTTTGTACCGATTTACGAACCTAGGCATTGTTTAAACGTGTGACTTAATTGATTATATTGTTCTTTGAGAAATAATTTGTTGTTTAGATCTGTTACGGGATGTGATTTATTGACGCTTGGATTTTTAAAGTGCTTATAGGACTAACTACATGGAAACATTCTGATAAAGATGGAACTTCAATAGTGCACTGGGTTTTTAAGCTGACCATAAACTTTGTGAAATGGAAAGTTTCAAATGTGTATTTGTCACGTACTTAAGATAAAATAATCATTCTGGATAAGACAACAGGAATTATATACCTGGTTTCTATGGGAACAAATTATATCATTTCACGTAGAATGATGTTCTTAATGGGAATTATTTGTATGAAAAACTTTACACAATTAGATCTGTGAGTTGATTGCTGTTAACAAAATTAGTTTTTTTATCAACACTCTATCTAAGAAGCAAACAATGCCTGTTTTGAATCAGCTATAAGTTACCATTTTTATTGAGGATTTTACGAGGTCTTACGATTTAATGGATTTCATAATGATAGGATTTTGTCACCAAATATTCTTTTAATGGATGAGAAAGAAAGATAAAATCAGACAGAAAAAATTGGGAAAATATGTTACAATTCAAATGACCAGGAAAAGGTCATTTAAATTTCATATTAATATTTTTGGAATTTTAAGTGTTTTGTTGGAATGAATTAAATGAAGTTTGCTGTATCTGTGAAAAATCGAACATTTTGTGTTGTTTTTCGTAATATTTTAAAAGGTGTTAATTTTTATTCATTTGACTTTATTAAAACTTGGCATACATGGCCTTGACATAATGTGTTTTGACTTAGAATATACTAAATTGATGAATGATCAGAATTTCATAAAGATGAATCTTGCTTACGCTCCGAAAAAACAGCAAACAATGTTAACACCAAGGGAGTCATCAATGGCAAGAAATCATCTGGGAGAATTAACTAAAGCATTTGCAGCCATTAATACAAGTAAAATTGAAATCAAAACTAAACCTCCTCTCAAGAGAAGTTATTCTGTTACACCTACAGGAACATCACAGGGTTTGACAAACCCTAATGGAGTAAGACCCAAGATGCACAAAAGTCACTGGCATAGTACTAATGATTTGTCTTCAAGAAGACAGAACGACCTCACTCCTCCTCCTCGTTTTACTGCTAATGATTATATCTCAAGAAGAGCGATTCAAAATGACCTACTCCCGTCACCTCGTTTAAGAAATGAGGTTATTGCAGCTGCAAAAAAAATCCAAAGTGAGGTTCTTGCGACAACACATTATATAAAACCAGATATTGAACAAAAAGCTGCACAGTACACGCAAGCAGAACTGCTTAAACAAAATTATGCTGAACATGTGTACAAAAAGTTGACTGCCTCAGAGGAAAACATGCTTCAAAAATCTGCTTACTTTCATAATTCTATTACTACAAAACTGAACAGTAGTTCTCAGACTATGAATAGTACGTTACAAAAACAAGCCTATAGTGCCTCACAGCAACCTGTCCAAAACTCTGTCATGCAAAAATCCTATATTCAGCCGGATGTTAAACAATCAGTTACACTGAAACTGATATCTGTTCAATCAGCCGAAGAGGTATCAGAAAATAATGAGTAAGTTATGTAAAATGAGCAGTGTTTTGATAAAGAATCCATACTGGTGGAAAATTAAAGTGATATTTAGAGAACATCAGTACTGTTGGATATCACTATAAAATTAGAAACGCATAAACAAAGTCATGTCTTGGTATTTTGTTTGCACAAGTGTGTGCATTTCGTAGACGGTCATTTTATCTGTAAAATAAAGGGGGTCAATTTTTTTGTGTTCCTCTGGATCATGCATGCCTAATTTTGTATTATTCATATTAAGTAGCCCAAAAATGGTATCCCCCAAACTGAACCAACTATATCCAACATGACCTAACTTTTAAAAAAAATGGACATATGACATTTATGACCAGCATTATATACATATATGGTTCCTAAATAAACCAATTTTAAGTAGTATACAAATTTTGCAATGGAACCAAATTTTTCCAAAGTTTTGTCACAAATTTTGTTATTTTATCCTGGTGTTTTCAGCAATTATATTAGCAATTCCTATATTCCTTATATATATTTCGATTTTTTTTTTCTCTCACATATAGAATTTTTTATAAAACAGACAAGAGTCTCAGACAGCAACCAAAAAAAAAATCATTCTTACATGATAAATAGCTACTAATCGACTGCATGTACTGGAAAATAATGAAGGATCTGGTATTTTTATACGCCCGTTTACGGGACGTATTATGGTATACTGTTGACCGACCGTCTGTCCGTCCGTCCATCCGTCGTCAACATGTCGGACATTAATTCAAAAACGCTTTAACCAATATGCATGAAACTTTGGTGAATTGTATATATCTACTGATGTGAGCTCCCTTTCGTTTTTTTATAAATTTCAGATTTACCATATCCGAGTTTTGGGGTTTTATTCATTAAAAAAGGGGGGATTTTCTAGTTTTCGGACAATAACTCAAAAACAATTTCACTAATTTGCATGTAACTTTTGTGAATTGTTCATATCTATTGTCATGAGCTCCCTTTCGTTTTTTATAAATTTCAGATTTACTGTTTCCGAGTTTTGGGGTTTTAATCATTAAAAAAGGAGGGATTTTCCAGTTTTGGGACAATAACTCAAAAATTTTTTTTTATGAATTTTCGATTTCATTTGTTTATAGTCTGACAACAGATTTACTAAGTATTGCGCAACAGCACAGTGTATTGCACAACAGCAAGAAATCTTTCATATAACCAATTTCAAGTTCTTTGACTACATTTATTCAGAAACCTATAATATATCAAATATTTAATTACAATCCAAATTCAGACCTGTATCAAGCTTGAATATTGTGTCCATTTTTGCCCCAACTGTTCAGGGTTGGACCTCTGCGGGTGTATCCAGCTGCGCTCAGCGAAGCAGTTTATTTCACTATAAATGATCTTTATCAATGATTTTGTAATTACATGAAACTGAAATCGAACAATAAAAAGGAAAGATTCTGAAATGAATTTTTTTATGTCCTTTGTTTGCTGAAAAATAATGTTACTTTGCTTGTATATTAATAGATTTTCAGATACCATGAAAATCCATATCTTGTGCTTTGGGTTTAATTATCTGTTGCATTACTTTATGATGGCATGAAATCAGAAGAATAAAAAATAATTTTTCACTTCCTAAGTTCGTGGTCATTTTATGTAAAACTTTACCAAAATTTAGCATTGACAGGATTCTGACACATTTTAAGCAGTTTCATCTTTTTTACAGATGTACTGTGCTGGTGTTGTTTATAAATTCTAGAAAAGGGATTCATTATTTGGAATAAATTATGCAATCGTCAACCAGATGGTCCCTTATTTTGCCTACATTTTTTGTTGTGTACATTAAGGATAGTCCATTCAAAAATTAAATCTTTTCAAAATTTTATTTGTTGTATTGCTTTTAATTTCTGATTTTTATTGACAATTTTCCATTTTTAGCAGCTAATTGTCCCCTGTCAGTATTTCACCAAGAATAGTTTTGGTCAAATAAATGAGATTACTGGTACATGTGTTAGGCCAATTTTATGCCAACATACCTGATTTTATCAAATAATTATTTAAGAACTGAAAACAAAAAATATAAATGATCAAGTTCCAATGCATGATTTTCAGAAATTCTTTTTAAAAACACTAGAAAAGAAAGATTTATTTAATGGATATTTATATCCACTGCTTAATGCTGATAATTTTATTAATAGATTTGTAGTGATTCGAAATCCAGAGCCACATGTTTAGCTTGTTCCCTACTCTTTGGAAGAGCTTAGGCATTTTTCAGTGATGATCTGATATAGGGCTGTGTGAATGTAGAAAAAAACATTGTGTGCATTCATTAACAATGGACAAAAATGAATGATTTTGAATTTAGAAATAGCTGAATCCATATAAATAAATCATGATGTAAAATGTGAGATTAGATTAATGTGATACTCACCCCATTGCATTTTTGGAATGAAATAAGGGAAAACTTTCTGAATTTACAGTTTCTGCACACACTGAAATATAGCCCATGTATGTGCTAGTAGGTGTTAAATCAATATCCATCAGTGTTTGTCATCTTTCTAAAAAAAATGTATGCCCCCCTCCGTAGACGATGGGGGCATTAAGTGTTACCCTTGACACTTCCTTCTGTCTTTCCTTCCATCCCTTTTTGTTTCCGCCCTCTAACTTAAGTTTTACTCATCAAAATTTTATGAAGCTAATACACAATGCTAAGAACCAAAAACTTGCAGACAGAGTTAGAATTTGGGCAGTAAGTAACTTACCTCTAGAGTTATGTCCCTTTATAACTTAGACATTTTCTTCTTTTATTTTATTATTATTTATTTTTATGTTTTATAAGATGAGACAAATAAAAGATGTCTTGTTGAATAAAGATGAAGTATTGATTTACACAGTAGAACTGTTAAATCTGAAAAACTCCAAACTTATGAGCTACTTCTGTTATCTGTGTATGCTTGGAAACATCAGATACTTGAACAATTGCCCATAATTGGACAAGTATACATTTTACCTTTTACCTTTGTAGTAGAATATTACGGGTAATAATATATGTCCTTAATCACGTAATGTAGTTGACTGCAACTTAAAAAGTAACAATTATATATAGTGTTGCTTTTAAGTACAAACTTCACTTAAAACTTTAAAATGTATTCCCTTTCATTTTCAAATCAAAGGGCTATATTTACAATAAAAATGTGAGATCTATTTAACAACTGTTATACCTTAAGGCAACTTATTTTTGGATCCGATTACTATATGTGATTTTTTGCAAGTATCATATAAATGTGAATATAAATTGTCACGAATATGACAAACTTTGATCTTCTCTTATATGAATATATCATCAAAATTGGAAAATCTCAGAAATATTATGAATTGCCAAGAAGTTTGCTAGAAAGGGCTTCATGCAAACAAAGAAGTCACGTAAAGAAGCTGGTTTACAGTCCTGTATAAAACTGGTTCCTCTCTTAGTTTGTTTTGTGGATATGACCAAGGCTATGAATGAATTTGTCTTAAAGATTGACCTTATTAAGTGTTGTCAAATTTCACAATTTTTGAATTCTCTCTTTCTCTCTTCACTTATTTTATCTATTTATTCCGTCTATAAGTTTCTGTATAGTTACTATGTTTAATGATATAAAATGTTCAATGGTGTCATTTAAAATAAATCACAAATCAATATAAGAGATTACCTTGTCATCCGTTTTAGATATAAGGTTGTAATCTTGATTTTCAATTTATAAAAAATGTGTAATAAACTTTCCTGTGTAATAAATTTTGTCACTTAACCAAGATTTTCAATACTGTTGCATATAACTAATGTTTTCAACAATGAATAATACAGTTGATTGTTTACACCCATGTACGATTTATTGTCATTATAAAAATGTTCAGAAGAAATGTTACTTTTGATGGCTAAAGTAATCCGTAATGATCTTATATTTTACAGAAGGAAGCAAGTTTTGTCAATAACAGAAGATAAATCCAAGAAATTATTAGAAGGGAAGTTAGATAAATCACAGAATGATTTTGTGGGTAGAGCTGGTTTGACACACCAGCCTGTAGAAACCGTCAACGTTAAACAACAGGTTAGTTCACAAATCATTGCCAAAAATAAGTTGGTAGATAAAGTTTTTTCTCTTTATACAAATCAGTTCAAATTCCTTACAGTTGTTAAACTGAAAAATGTAGAAGTATGAATAAATTTAGGAGATGTAACATGTCAAAGAGCCAGAGACCTAGCATCACACAAAAACGACAAGCTTTAAGAGGTCTGAAAGTTTGATTTCAAGCAATCATTGGTGTATACATCTCCCCATTGCTCCTTATTTGTAAAATCATTTTAAATCTTGTCAACAGATTGTTTTAATCATACTTCTATCAACATTATGGACACTTAGTATTTGCTGTTTCAGAATCTAAAGGACTATTGGTAATGAAAAATAAATAGAAAATAATGTTACTTCATGTATGGAATTTTCATTGATTGGGATGTTTTTAACCCAACATTTTGGTGTAGACTTGAAATGTAACCCAAAATGCCTCAGATTCTGAAAAGGGGAATATTAGCTGGGTTAAAAATCCTTTGAATAGATAGGATTTCAAAACTGCTTTGTTTCTATTGTGTCCCTTTTTATTCTGCCTCAAAAAATTCTGGCTTCTATAGCAAGGAGGGTATAAATTGAAAGGTAACTTGCAGATATTGTAATTTTTAGAAAACTGTATTTTATAATTTTCTCATTAATATAGCTTCTATAAGTTCCAATGAGGAGTACATGTTGAAATCAAATGTACTTCTTAAACTATTTTTGTATTATTTTCTTAGTGTCATTGGACAATATACTCAGTTGTAAGTAAAAAGACATGTGTTATTTTTTAAACAAATATATGTACACTGCATTGATCGTGGAAAATTATCAGGGGAAAAGACATAAATGTAAAATTCTGTTTGACACAGACACACTGACAATGCTTCACATATTCCATATTTACCATGAAATCATGCATGTTTATTTTCCAAATTCTTGCAAGTATTCATAAATATTCCAATGTGTTCATGACCTATTAAGAATTTGTTTTTGTTTTGAAATCCCCATTGCTCTGATGAAACATGTATCTTAGATCTACCTGAGTTCATTTGGAGCAATTTAAATGACAACAAATGGGAACATTGTTGAAAGCTGTACATAAATTAAATAATCAGATATTTTATAAACATGTGAATGGTTCTGGTGTAAAGGTTAAGAAATGCTGTAATGTAAAATGCTGTCACTTTTTTAATATGTGGTTGAAAAATACAAACAGAGCATGACAGTACATGTACTAGTGAATAAAGAAAATATATATATATATATACATGTATAAATAAGTCTAAATTGAAAACAACGTTCAAACCTATGATTGCGTTGGATAAAAACCGCAATATTTATACGTGTGCATGCAAAACAAATTTCTTGGTAGAGGGGTCTAAATACAGCACAAACAACATTTACCAAAAGACCAAAAAGGTGAAAAAGTATATTTAAACAAAACGCATTTGACTAACAGGTCGAACAACGGATGTTCTTAAACTCTGCTGACTGCCATTTGCGATTGCCAAATAAACGGATCACAATATGTAGCAAAATCTTTATTATTAATTTAATACCAAACAGAAAACAATAAACTTGCGGAAAAGATGGTATACCGCAAACATGAGGTGCAAAAATTTTGACAATTAATGTCTCTTCAGTGATGTTAGAAATCAAAACGGTATTTGGAAAGCCATATAATTTACCTCAATTTAGGATAGACTCTTTAATTTTGAAGAGTCGAAATAGGATGAACGGATCATATAAACCCGAAGGCAAATATAAAACAAGCCCAAACGAAAAAATACAACGTTCAAACCTATGATTGCGTTGGATAATAAACAAATTTCTTGGTAGAGGGGTCTAAATACAGCACAAACAACATTTGTACATGTATATATATTGATATACTGGGAATGCACATTTGCTAAAATACATAGAAACTATTATATTTTTGTGTGGTTATGGTGGTGGTAAAATATAAAGTATTATAATAAAAGCTATATTTGGAGCATTTTGTATTGTACATTATGTTTTGGTTAACAATATGCAGTTCTGTTAAAAATGTATTTTGTTGTGTTAATTTTGGTTTTTTGTTGTTGTTGTTTGTGTTGGTAATTTGATATAATGAAGATATATTTGCACTCTACATTAAATTGCAAGTCAAAACTACACATTTTGTAAAAGGATTGCGTAGATTTATAAATTTACTTCAGATTTTTTAAACAGTCTAGTTGTTTGTTAAGGATATAGAAATGTTAGCACTGGATGTTAAGCAAGTATCAATCAATCTAGTCACATTAGATTGATAAGTAGACCCAGCACAAAATTGTTAATCATAATATGTTTTCTACACAATAATGTCATATCTTTGAAAGAATTGTCTTTTGGTATTTTCTCTCTTTTTTAATGTTATTTTCAAGGAGATAAGGGATTTGAATATTTACTTAACTCACTCACAAACTGAAGTTATGTTATGTTGTGATATTTTTGTGAGAGAAAGGCTGAGTTTTCATATCAATTAACTCCGTAAAAATAACCTTTATTATGTATAATTGCATTAAAATGTTCTAAAATTATGTCTAGATAAAACATTTCAAGACCACTTATAAAACTATTTTGCCTGTGTTAGAATTCGTTGTCAAGTATGTGTAAACATTTTTGTTAACATGACAATCACCACTGAAACATGTAAAGTTGAAATTTTGCAATTATATAACAATGGCAATAATTGAAGACCAGGATTCAATTGTGAAAAACATCAGCTCTATTTGCCAAAAGGGTAACATATGAACAGACTGTAAGATGCAATATTTAGAAGTTGCTAAGTATTGTTCTGATACTTTAAGGAATCCATGTCATACCTGATCATATTATTGTTAAATAGACCTTGATGGAAGTGAAAATCTTATAACAGAACTACTTCGGTAGACTTAATGCAGCATATTATGAATAAACTTGGTATGATATATGCAAATGTGTATGACTAATCATATTATAGTGATTTCTAATATGTTCCATATTTTGTAATATAACTAGAATTTGCCTCAGAATAATTTTACAAAAGTTTCTGACAATCACTTCATAATTATTCAACACAAATGCTACTTCTACCAGGAAATGTAAGATCAAGATATTATGTATCCATAAAATAGAAGTTTTTACTCAGTCCATGAAAATGACAAAACTAATGTAGGTTAAGAAGTTTTCTTATAATCTGGATGCCTGTCTAACTGTAAAGATGGTATGGTAACCTTTAAATATCTGCTTTTGTTAACTTCTTTTGTTGGGTTGCTGGTTCATTTATCATGACATTTACCTTACATCTTTGTTAATCAAAGTCAACATTACATGGGTATATAGACTTTAGTACTGAATGGTGACTAATCTATGTACTTTTTTTCAGGTAAAGAAGTTAAAACTAATGACATATATATCTTATCCACATAATATTATAATAATTTGTCATTTTATTTTCAGGAACAGAATGCAAGAAGAAATTTTGCTAGAAGTTATGTAAATGAAATAACAAAAGAAGCGATATTCACGGACAGAAAAAGAAATGAATTATTAAAACAGTGGCCAATGATTTTTCATGAAATGGTCTATTCCTCCATGAGTGACATGTCAGACATGCAAAGTTATATGAAAAAATGTTTAGAAGAGTTAGAGAAAAGCTAGCAGTGGTATAACAATAGTTTTATTGCCTTTTAATGGGCCGTTGCTAAGTGCCATGAGAATGTCTTTCATTAGTTCTTCTGAATAGCCGTCCCATGACGGAAATATTCCGCATCTGTGACTGTGATGTATAATGGCAGCAAGACGTCAAAAGATGGTTAACAATATTGTGATCACATGGTATTCAAGGGTACTTCAGAGATGTGAAAGAAGTAAGATGCACTTGCCAAATCAAAGATGATGAATGCACTGCGCAAATGGATTGATTTAAGAAATTTTATTTATTATGAATGATTTGTTTCAAAAAAAAGATTTCACTTGTGAAGAGACAAATTAATTTCTGAGATTTTGATGCAGTTTATATAGGTGCTTTTATATCAAATTCTGTTGTGTAAAAGGAAAAAAAAGATTTGAATCAAAAACTTCTGCCAGCACATAAATGTTTTCAACACACATACTATTTATTGGCTCATAAAGGATTCTGAGTAATAAATAAAAACTTGTTCATTTTATCAAACTGTTGTGATTGTTCAAATGTATTTAAAAAAACCCATAAATTTCCGATGTTTAAAGGTTTAAATTAGATAGTTCATCTTCCTTAACATATAGTCAGAGATTTTTCTGATGGCCTGTTTTGTGGTCTTGGGACCAAGTCCAACATGTCAAAAAACAGACCATCATATGTCAGAGTAATGGTCAAGGGCTTCTTAACATACTTAAGTGTTATCATTTTACATGTAATAGAGTTTCTCCAAGATCAATGCACACATTTTTTATGATATTGTATCTTGCCATTTATATTTGTCTATCAATGGAAATCATTTATTTGATGTAGTTAAAATTTGTAGATATGTTTCAACCTCAGAGTGATTCAATATGCTTATTTAGCCTTGTCATTTGAAATAATTGGAAAAAAAGGTTAATTTCATATTTGAATTTATCCTCAAAATGCCAAGATAACAAAAACAAACTAGTGAAACTTTCTTTTCAGTATAAATCTTGCACTATTGACTAATACATGTTGTTTGTATAAGGTATATCACTGCATAAAAAAAATCAACTTACAAGCCTGAAAATCACTCAGTCAGAAAATTTCTTTAAATTTATATGGCATGTTAGGGTCCTTTTCAAGGAAAATTGCCTGGCCCAACAACATTTTTGCTGGCCTAGGCTGTAGGGCTTGTGGTTAATTGTCGAGAATGCAAATTGAAAAAAAAAAGCAGCTAAAATTTTGCTCTAAGATGCCTAAAATTTTTATAAATTCATTAAATTCTGTTTGTTTGTAGTTGTTACCTATTTGATTTCAAGTGAACATAACCTGTAAAAAAATTATGACAGTTCTCAGTTGGTGCTTTCTTAAGGACAGTAATAAAGTAGAAAGTAATGTAAAATTTTCAACAAGCCAAATTTAAGAAAATGAAACCGTATCCAGAATCATTTTGGGTTTTTGTAATTCTTGGTTGCTGTCTCTCATCCCACATCTCCTTTTATTCAAAGGAAATAAGATGATAAAATCTTTACACCGGTCATCCTGTAAAAAGATATCTATAACAACAGATGGAAAATGCTAAATATTTAGACTTATATGATTTAACGACTATTTTGTTTGATTTGTTTAATCTCATACACATAAGTTATGCTAGTGCTTGAACTATTTATACATTTTCAAACAGCAATAACATTTACGTTGTGGGAGCTTATAACTCGCTATAAGCATTAAATAGTGCTTATAAAAATGCAATCATAGACAGTAAAGCAGGCTTATTATATGTAAACTATGATCCTCTGAAGATATTTGTGATGAAATGTAATATTTAACACTATCACTTGGGTCAGTTTTCACTTTTATGAATTGGACAATTTCAATGTTATAGAATTCATGAAAATACTACATTAATTAGAGAAGAGAATTGTTTTTAGTATTTAGGAATAATATGTTTATTAGTGTAGAAACCTACATTTTCCTTTGACTTGGCATTGTTTGTAACTGCAATAGCATTTAACTGCAAAGGATCAAATTTGTAATACAGGTAAATTTGTGAAATCCACAAAATAATTTGTTGCATTTATTTAAAAAAAAAATCAAGTATGAATGGCTGTAAGGTCAAGAAAGATAATCTCAAAATTGGTGATTGGGTAGATCTGTAAGAGTAAGAGAGAGAGAAAAGATCAGCCTGTGTATCATATCTTGTATTATGTTTTTATGAAGAAGAATGTATGATTAATATATGTCTATTTTGCATTCTGAAAGATTAGTGGATGTTGTTTTGTATGATTGGAAATACATGTAGTGGGTAAATGATATGGAAGAAGATCCTTTAACCTTGGCTGCTACGGCTTACAAGTATACTCAAAATTGTATAAAGGGAAATTTTTACTCTTGTCTTTCATGTTTTCACAAAATTTATGATGTTCACTTTTCTCTGTCACTAATTATTTGTTGCAAAATTTTCCTCATTATTTTTCCTTAAAGATATATGGTTTGTGAATGTTAAAATAATTTCTGAAAAGTTAAGGCAAGTTAGATCTTTGGCTCTGGTCTCACAGTTAAATATATGTCCAATTTATTAGTATCCTTTCCAATCATTTATGCAAACTTTTTATGAAAAAAGGATATGAAATTTTACATGACTTTCTCCCATTTTCAATAATTTAAACAATGTTAAAGGAGACAGGATAACACAAGCTTAATTTATGATGTATTATTTGGTAAACAAAATATATAAGTTATGGGTAAAAGATTTCCTTGAATACTTGCTCAAAAAAGATCATTTTCAAATTTAACTGAAAACAAAATTCAAGTTATTAGACAAAGGGAGATAATCCATGCATTTCTTAAATCAAAAGAGGAGAGATTGTATGTTAGTTAAGTGAATTTTGCATGTTTTGTTTAACCATTAATTAATTGTAATTTTCATGTCTATTTTGTGCTCAATATTTTATTTATTATTTGTTTGTTAATGTTATAAACAGTTAATTGCCAAACTGTTTTATTAAGAGGCTAGGTTATAATTATTTCTTATTCCCCTAATTCACATGTTGACAAGAAAATGTGATTAATATGAAAATGTCACTTTAAAATAAAGGTGATTGAAGTTCTGTTTTCATTTTATGTTTATAAATATAGAGTTTTTAATGATATAATGCAGGCAATATAGAAATAAGAAGATGTGGTATTATTGCTAATGAGACAACTCTCCATCAGTGACCAAATGACATAATAGTAAGCAACTATAGGAAACTGTACAGCCTTTAACAATGAGAAAAACCCATATCGCATTAGCCTAGAAACTGTAGATTGCAAAAATAGAATGGTTTTTCTCAAGAGGGTACAATAGACATGTTTTTGCGAAAATGAAATGAACAAAGAAGTAAAAAATAATCAAATAAACACACACATAAGAAAAAATCAAACGATAGATTTTGATGAATACCATTTTTAAAACAGGTAAAAAAATATGATGAATTCATACAGTAATCACATCATTCAAATTACCTCAACACTATTCAAAGGTCAAGTGGTGACAAATATACATATAATATTACACAACTTCTTAATGTTCAAACAAGTAATGCTTTTTCATCTTTCACTCTAAGCAATAGGTCAACTGTATTTGGTGTATAGAACAATTGAAAGGTGAATATACCTGTCCGGCAGAGTTCATATGACCTTGACCTCAGTTTCATGGATCAATGATAATTTTAAGTTTATGTGATACCTGTTGTAAAATTTGTTGCATAAAGACTCTCAAGATTTAACATAGGACCAAAAACTCATTGAGAGTAAATTTGAGTTATAATAGTTCATGTCATAATACAAATTATTTGCAAGCTATTTTCCCTTCATATAACAGTTACAATCACCATTTTTTTTAATTATTTTTTGTTTCAATCAATGAAGTTGCTTAAACAGTTTTGTATTTCCATTTGTATGGATGGAATTTACCTGGTATTCCATTGTTTTTTCTGTTATCTAGGGGAAAATTAGCTTACATTATAATTTGGATCACAATGCAAACTATTATAAAGGGAGACGACTCAAATTCATTCTTAATGAATGTTTTGTACTGAAATAGTCAAAAAGCCAAAGTGTACAGGTGGTTACTCTTGATGTCTTTTGATATAGGAACAACATTGGTTTGAAAGAATAAATGTGTCAAACAGGAGGGCACAAAAGCAATTTTTTAAAATATCTCAGGTGAATGCATGCCAACTTGAATGATTTTGATTGCAAAGCATAACTTGGTACTATGTACTTATACATAAGAAATTGATTTTGAGCATAACTACATTTTTAGGACTTGTCCTTTTTACAATTCTAAGTCTGTAACACAGTGACAAACCAACTAATGCTGAGAAAGCACGTCACAAACACAAATTTGTCGGTCACCAGTAATAAAGTTATTCCACTTTTGGTGACAAGCGATAACTGAAAGGCTATAACATTAAACAAAAACAAACAAAGATGGCAGATGATAACCATGTTCAATCACTGGACTACATTTTCCTAGTAGCTTGGGAGATACATTAAAAAAGTTTGTGAGTGTTGAACCCTCCCCCTTACCTCAGAGAATAGTGTTTTTTATTTAATATACATAATTAATATGACTACAACTAACCAAAGTTACTGTAAAAATCAAAAGTCTGTCATAAACCTTTTCTGGTCAACTTCAAAACCTATGGTCCCCTGAAGGCAAATAACAACTAACACAAGTTATGATGATGTAGGCCACAAATGTGACAGTTATTATTTAAATTTCATATGAAAAGATACATGTATAAAATATAGCATACACTACAATTGAAACTACCAATTGTAAATTTTAATATACAATACTTTTAGTACAATCTCAACCCATAAAAGCATATTTTGTTATAAGTGAAAAAGACAAATGTCATCAATTATTAAAATCTAAAATTTTGAAAGTCAAATAATTAGAGTTATCTCTCCTTAACTATAAATTTGCTAATAATAGTGTAACATCTCAACTTTTGGGAGCAGATACTGCCAATTACATGTTTGTAAAATTAAACAAATCAAACATCTAGATCTGAATGGTAAATGAAACAACTAATTTTCAGATGGGAGCTGGGGAGGAGGAGGGGATTAAATTTTTCACAAAATTGAATGTCACCAATTGTCTGTATGTTCTTCCTTCAGCAGCTTTTCCAAAAAGAGGCTGAAATTGAAACATGTGCTCAAAGTAGCGCTCCCATATCAATTAAAAAATTCCGAAAGTTTCATTTAAGATTAATACCCATCTACTACACTATTTTCTACATATTGCTATCATTTATCACTAAGATATAAAACACTACCATATACGCCATACAAATAAAATATAAGAATTTCATTGTACCATAAAGTCACCCATGTTGCACATTAGTGGATATATGATGGTACCTTAACTGTGTGGTTACCAACAAGGTTAGAAGAGATCAATGTCTAAAACTTTGACATTATAGTCTGAAAAAGGGAGGTTCACAAGACAAAACATATGAAATTTTTAAAAATAAATATCTTAAGAACAACACTGATTGATAGTGGCTAACTGCTTGTCAACAATCAACTAAAAAATCACTCCTTACAAGTATGGTAAAGTTTTCTTTGAACTAACAGTTCCTTTCAGAAACAGGATTTTCTATCACTATTACCTTTTTCAGTGATAAATGCCACAGGTACAGGCCTCTTATTCCATTTCCAGCTGATTTTTTGTCGAGCCTGCAACATTTATGATGCGAGGAGAGCGATCCTAGATTCTGTCAGCGGTGTCAACATTTAGGTATTTAGGTAACATTTCAGTATATTTCTGATAAATGGGCTTAGTTCTTTACAGTTAACATTTACAGACAGTCTGGGATTTAACTTTTTTGACATGATAAATTTGTAAACCTTATGAATTGTTATGAAACTTGGACAGAAGCTAATTTTCAAGACCATGAAATAGCATCGAAATAAAAAGTTTGATTTTTTTTTAAATTCTGTATTTTACTGATAAATGGACTCACTTTTCAAGTCAATAAATATTACACTTTTACACTGACAGCAGCAATCGCAGGTGAGACACAGGGTTCGGTGGAACCCCTGACGATTTTTTTTTGTCTCAACTACTTCTAAAGTAGCAGAATCCATACATGAGTACTACTCTTCCATATTGCAGATAACCATAACGTCTTGTACTTACTTTCTGTGAGGATGACAAAAAACTGAATGTAACAATTTTTTTTAGCTCACCTGGTCAGAAGGGCCAAGTGAGCTTTTCTCATCACTTGGCGTCCGTCGTCGTCGTTAACTTTTTACATTTTGAACTTCTTCTAGAGAACCACTGAATGGAATGAAACCAAACATGGCATGAATGTTCCTTATGAGGTACTGACCAAGTGTTGTTACTTTGTAGTGGATCCATCATCCAAGATAGCTGCCACTGGGAATTTGTTTAACATAGGACAAAACATATGAAATTTTTAAAAATAAATATCTTAAGAACAACACTGATTGATAGTGGCTAACTGCTTGTCAACAATCAACTAAAAAATCACTCCTTACAAGTATGGTAAAGTTTGTTTGGGAAATACATACAAATGTCTTCTTTTAGAGAACCACTGAATGGAATGAAACCAAACATGGTATGAATGTTCCTTATGAGGTGCTGACCGAGTGTTGTTACTTTGAAGCCGATCCATAATCTAAGATGGCCGCCAGCAGAGGACTCAGTTTAACATAGGACCCTACGAGAAATACATACAAATGTTTTCTTTTAGAGAACCATTGAATGGAATGAAACCAAACATGGCATGCATGTTCCTTTTGAGGTGCTGACCAAGTGTTGTTACTTTGAAGCTGATCCTTCATCCATGATGGCCGCCAGATGGGGACAATGTTTAACAAAGGACCCTATGGACAATACATACAAATGTCTTCTTTTAGAGAACCACATACTGAATGGATTGAAACCAAACATGGCAAGAATGTTCCTTATGAGGTGCTGACTAAGTTTTGTTACTTTGAAGCTGATCCTTCATCCATGATGGCCGCCAATGGGGGGACTTCCTTTAACATAAGACCCTATGGGAAATACATACAAATGCTTCTTCTAGAGGTGCACTGAATGGAATGAAACCAAAACATGGCATAAATGTTTCTTATGAGGTGCTGATGAAGTGTTGCTACTTTGTTGCCGATTTACTGTTCAAGATGGCCACCAGGATTTTTTATTAAATTACAGGACCAATATTAAACCAAATTTGGCCTCACTCATTATTAGGGTATCTGTTATGATTTTAATCTATTTTTACATGATTTCCAAAACCAAAGTAGAATCAGGTGAGCGACACAGGCTCTTGAGAGCCTCTAGTTTAGTTTTTACACAACATCATATTAAACTCTGAAAGCATTGCATCAAGATCAGAATGGTTAAGAATAACCTCAGTAGACTATTTTCAGGTCAAGTTTAATTACTCAACATACAAGCATGATTTTCTGTCAAACATTATCAATGTACCACCTGAGAATGAAACCCAGGAAGCCTGCCACCTCTTTACTAACTGAGCTACAGGTGAATTGCAGTAATGCAGCTCATAGAGGACAGTTCAATCCTACTAGGTCAAAAACTGACCACTACCCTTTCCCCACCCCAAGAGTCATTAAATATAATTGCAGTATCCAAAAAAAAAATCTAGCTTAACCTATTTAATCTGTTAAGACTACATTAGGTTTTTGTCTCCCGAAGAGCTGGTTCTACTGCATCAGCATCACAATTTGTTTAAATTTGTGATAAGGTCAGTTTGATTGAACCACTTATGGTAAGTCACTGATATTTGGTATGCATTTCTTTTAGCATGGGAACATCTCCTTTCCATGGAGATTATTTGGCCTTAACCCCTCATTCATGGACTATTTGCTAAAACGTTTTCATAATTTACATGTTGAAGTTTGAGACTAGGTCAATTTAAGGGAACAAATAATGATGGGTCAGTGTTATAAAATCCCATTGTCATAGCTATCATTTGGCCCTGTCCACTAAGTCATGGTCTATTGACCTTGAAAGATTTCTTTAATTTGAATGTTAAAGTTTGATTGAATCAGTTTAATCAGGTATGCAGTTGTTTTAAGTATTAGCACATCTCATTTCATTCTGATTATATGAACCTCTCTCCTCAATCATGGTCATTTGACTGAATCTTTATATATTTTACATATTAGTGTTTTATCAGATCACTTCAAGTTGAACCCCATATGATGTCCTTGATCTTTGGTATGCAGTTGTATCAACATTGGGATGTCTCATTTCCATGGAGATTATCTTATTATTTTACTGTGCAACCTCAGTCATAGTCATTGAGTTTGAAGGGGCTGCATAGTTTGCATGTTAAAGTGTTTCCAAATTTATTTCATCATTTGCATTTACTATGAAAATTACATTAAGGTGAGATATATCTCTGTATCAACAGTTTATTTCAGTTGGAGTACTTAATGCAACAGTAGAGCGTGATTGTTCTTATCAAATTATCACAGTACCACCCAGTAATCAAATAAAGGACCATTTACACAATAAGACATCACTCTTATTGATACCTACTAAAGGAGTACTCTGCAAGCCCATCTAATGGTGTGTGGTTATAAATCTGCTCGGTCAAGGGCTGCACTGCTTCATAACAAGGACTTCAGAAGTTCAAAGAATTAAGGTTAAACTCCTCTAATTCCAGCCTAATCAAATTCTACGAATGTATTCACTCACTTAAGTAATTCTACTTCCTATTAAATCATTAATGCTTTCACTGGCATAAGTAATTCTACCCCTTTCCAATGTCAATTTTAAAACTATTACTGTAATACATAACACTTTTTTCTGGTTTTATTGTGTTGATGGATTACTGTCATTTTGAAGTGTACTCTGCATTTCCTTTGGTTAATCATTTGTATCAAGACTTGATGAAAAACTAACATCCGACTAATCCAAGCAAAGTCTTTAGTTTTAAACAGACATTATTTTGACAACACAAAAAAAATATGTGGAAATGGTTGTACAAGAAGTAAAGTTACTATAAAATATAAAAAAAATAACAGTAAAATCTAAATTAAACTAGAACTGTGGAAGATCTCATCTGCCCCATAATACTATTAGTATATTTAAATCAATAAATTAAAGTCAAAAGCTTAACCCACATGTTGCAGGTTTACTCGACTCGAATCTTAATTGACTAGGGTTGTTAATTTTCCTGTCAAAGGTAGTTTTTTCTCTCCAGCTTCCTGAACCAAAAAAAAACTGACTGCCAGGAAATAGACAAGAGTGCTGAAAGAGGTGTTAAAACACCCATCATTAATCAATCAATAAATTAAATTATCTCCCCTTTAACATGTTGGATCAAGATTATATTCCAACATGAGATAGGTGCTATATATGGAGCAAGATCTTCTTACCTTTCAGGATCACCTGAGATCACACCTAGTTTTATGTGGGGTTTGTGTTTCTCTGTCTTTAGTTTTTAAAGTTGTGTTTGTGATCTGTTGATTTTTTTTCCAAGGCGTTGTCAGTTTGTCTTTGACTTTATGAGTTTGAATATGCTGCCTCTCCTAGATGCACATCCTTTAGGTTTTGTACTACAACTCAATACCATCAAGCATTTCAGGAGTTTCACTTTAAAGTTCTTACCATGTATTAAGTAAACTCAATTATCTCCCCTTTAACTGGTAGGACAGGGATAATATTCATTTATGTGCATCCTAAAGAAGAGTGATACAACTGTGTAAAATTTCATTAATATTGATCCTGCTGTTTAGGCAGAGTAACAATTACAAAACACTTTTACAGCATATTGCAACACTGAAGTAAGTAAATTCGATTATCTCCCTTTATGAATATAATGAGATGTATGATAGCAACAGTGAGCAAAACCCATGCCATTAGTAAGCTAAATTATTTCTCACTTGGCATTTTTGCATGAAATCTATCAAATGCAAAAAGAATATGTCCTATAGTTTCCAGCAAAAATGCCAACCAATGCACATGCGAAAAAATGCAAAAAATATGTACAAATAATTATTAAAGGGCAATAATTCCTATAAGGAATCACCTGATGATTCCTGCCATCTTAACTTATTTGTAGATCTTATTCTGTTGAGCAAATTTGTGTTGATATAGTTTCTCTATATCTACTAAAGTTTCCACAAAAACAATAAAATAAATGTCTGATATATTAACCTTTTGACACAGAGATATGTCTCGCTTGTCTGCATAAAATTCAGAAAGACAATCTGATGGATATTAACATTGCTAATTAATTCAAGTTGCTGCACCATCAAACTGAGCTGTACGGAAACTTTATTGAAACTATAATCGTCAATTGTAAGTAGTTCCTATCAAAAGAATTGAAGGAGAATCTTAACATTGAAAATTGCTAATTAAAATCAAAGTCACTGGACCATGACCTAGAATGGCCTCAAAGAAGTTGTTAAACAAATATGTACGATAGTTAAGCAACTTCAAACAAAATATCATTGATCTATCACAAGTAGTTCCTATCAAACTAACTTAAGCAGAAAACTTAACATAGAAAATTGCTAATTAATTCAAAGTCACTGGACCATGACCTAGGGGACAGGGCCTCAAAATAGTCCTCAAACTGATTTGTACAGATCGTAATGCAACTTCATACAAAATAACATTGATCTATCACAGGTAGTTCCTATCAAATTAACTTAAGCAGAAAACTTAACAATTGTCTATGCCATCGCCGGAAAAGCAATCCCTATGTCTTGCTTCCATCGCAGGAGAGACAAAAACACAACCTTTGTACTAGATACTCTAATGATCATTCAAGCTGTTTTGTTGAAATTAATTTAGAGGAGATGTTTGAAAATGTTTATGACTGACATCTGGAGACGACAGATGCCAAGTGATTGCAAAACCTCACTTAGCCTTCTGAATAGGCTTTCAATTGAAATAAACAGACCAAAACCTTTTTTTCATGTTTTAATGTAAAAAGATTGTATTATAATCTGAAAATTTTATGTTAAATGCTAATATATTTTTTATGACAAATTCTACATACATTTGTCTGTCCAAATATTTTTTTTTACAAATATGTTACATCCTTCAACCTGAGAACAACAAAGTTTATGATTCAAATTTTGAAGAAAAATATTATTACAAATTTGAGAAAAAAAAAATAAACAATTATTCAATCTTAAATATCAATTAAAAGATTTTATATTCTTTATACAGCTTAACTTGCTATCCTGAACTGATGTGAAAAAAAATTATTATATTTGGACTTTAAAAACACGTCCATTAGTTCTTCCACTTATATACAGAAATGAAAAATGATATGATAACCCAAAATATATATATTTTGTTTTTAAACAAAACATTTACAACACTCAAAAAAACAAAATGCAGTTAATAATAAAAGTAAAATAATAATTAGACTGCATTGATATAAAAATTATATTTGGACTATTTTTGTCTAAAATTAGCACTAATTATTGCCAAAACAAGAGAATCTAAAATCCTTATAACAGGATGATAAAGATTCATCTACACATCAGATCGAATTGGTCACTTCAAAATCTAAACGATTGTGGGTAATATCATTGCCTTATACCTAGGTTTCTTTATTTGCTTCATTTTAGGACATGAATAACTTCACCCAAAATTCATTAGATTCTGAAATAGTGAATTTACTTTTTATTATTAATAATCTGTGAGAGTGAATAATTTAAAATGACCGAAATAAATATGAACTAAAGAAATAGTCACAGCCACTCATAATATAATTTCTAGTTCTTCGTAAAATTTAACCGCACATCAGTCATTAAATTCCACTCAATATGATCTTTCTATTAATACATACATGCAGTAACAATCAGAATTTAACAAACTTACACAATTCACTTTTATAATCCGATAATTCAGAGAAACAGTGTTTCGTACAAAGAAACTAAAATCAAACAATACATTCACTCTATTCTATAGTTAGTGCACATAAGTTAATCAAAGAAAATCAAGCTCTTATATATATATTCTGCTCACTAAAATGACTGGACTACAATTTGTACAGGGCTACTGATGCATCAAATTAACATATAATTGCAGATTACTGGAAGATTTTCATTTTGGTACGTGGTGTACAATAATTAAATAGCTCTGAAAATTTAGCCCTACTTACTGCATCTATAACTTAATATTTTGATTTATCTAGTATGTTTGTGCAATAAAAATATACTAGATAATAATAATTAGGAAATAACTTGAACAAATTCTTATATTGAAAAACAGGTCCTTTTCCTTTCAGATGACAAGATCTTTCATAGAGAATTACATAGAGGACCCAAAGAACTAGTAATTATATAAGGTGTGGTCTAATGTGGAGTATCTGCTTATTCTTCAGATGCCTTTTTTTCTACAGCAAAAGGTTCATCTACAGGTAGAGATCCACATTCAGCTATAACAACATCTTTTTTAGGTTTGTCTCCAGCTGCTGTTGGATTACTTTCTATTTTTCTTACTACACTCTGTAAAAACAAACAGAAATAGCATGTCACATTAATATACACTTGAATATCAGTAGTTTGTAAAGAAATTATTCAATAACTGTTAACAAAAGGTATTTCTTGTCTCAGTGTTACCTAATCATAAACTATAAAAAAAACATTAATCAATATCAATTGGTGGTTACCAACTTTAAAAAAATGACATGATTCTTCAATGTTTTCTAAATAAATAAAAGCAAGATCATCCTATTTTCAACAACCAGTTAAGATATTATGGCCATTAATTTTTGTATTTGATATATAAGTGTTTGATTTACATGACCAAAATCATTGTATTCCCTTTCTGTTTTCATTATTAATATTCAAATTGCATAGAGAGACTTAGGAAATATAAGTCATCAAGAAGTTCCTCATAAAGTTCAATTCTCGAATCATAACTACTTCAATTTTAGTCGGAATGTTGCATATACCATCTATGGAATTTTTTCTATAGTATTATTAGTTTAATCTATAAAATTTGTCATATAAAAACATCACTAAGGATTGCAAAATAGAAATAAATAGACATTCTGTTCAAAACCTAAATAAACAGTATAAAACATTATAAATGTACTTGATCATAATTCATATATAGTTAGTTCAATAATTTTCATTAAACTGAACCAATTGACAGCCTATTTCATTCAAGAAGTGAAGAAATAAAAATATAAAAGCATAAAATCCATCCTTGAGCTATATGACAACAACGGTACATGATCGTATCAGTTGAGTCTCAATCAAAATGATTATGGTAGGTTGTACAGTATGAAATTATTCTAGCCTGTAGGACCCATCTAAAATCCTTAAAATATAAGATTTCACGCATGATGACTTCAAAATTGCAACCTTACTTTTGCCATTTCCATATTGTTTTTTTTTTGTGTGTATCAAATATATATGCAGAAAAGTTTTTTTATGCAACACAAAAACAGTGGTCCCTACATTTACATTTATTTTTAACTGAAAGAGGCTAAACCAGATTGTAAAATTTACAACAAGAGAAAAACCAAAATAAACCAACGACTTTATAAAGAAATCCTGAATGATACTATAAACTCTTACCATTCCTTCTATAACTTTTCCAAAAACAACATGTCTACCATCTAACCATTCGGTCTTTTTTGTTGTTAAAAAGAACTGTGATCCATTAGTGTCTTTACCAGCGTTAGCCATGGATAACCATCCAGATCCATAATGCTTCAGCTTGAAGTTCTCATCAGCAAATTTTTCTCCGTAAATGCTTCTTCCTTTAAAAAGACAGAGAAAAAAAATTGAAAATCAATATATTCATTATTTAAATAACTCAACAAAATTATTTTGTTGCAGACCTTGCTATGTATCAGTCTGTTAATTCTAATATCTGATATAAATCCTAATGATTGAAGTCCTCTGAAGTGAATCCATGGAGCATACACATAATGCTATCAAAATTTAATATGGGAATCTTTAGTTTTACAAAAACCTATACCATCTCAATTTTCACAGTAATGCATAATTCTGATATAATACATACGGTATACTTCAATATTCTTTTTTAATATAAGAATTCATTTTTTTAAGATCTTTTTGATTTCCATTGTGGAAAATTAAATCTTTTACAGAAAGGAATCAATGAACACCAGTATGTCAAATTTTGCATTTCTTTGTCATGGTTTTTGGACTTTGGATATTTTTTTACAATTTGTTCTCATGCTGTGCTGTTACAACACTGGCCCAGGTTTGGGATATGGTTGAGCGCTTTCAATAATGTTTAACCCTGCTACATTCTTTATGTGCCTGTCCCAAGTCAGGAGCCTGTAATTCAGCGTTGTTGGTTGCAGTCTGACATGGGTTTTTAGTTTCACATTTTGTAATGTGGTGTCTTTTTAGCTACTAGATGGTATGGGTTTTGCTCATTGTTAAAGGACATATAGTGACTATAGTTGCTTATATGCACATCATGTGAACCCAGGTGGACAGTAGTCTCACATCTCTTCATTTTTATATACCATGATAAAGATAGTTCTGCCTCTACATAATACCAACCTCCAGTTCCATCGCCTCTAGTAAAGTCACCTCCTTGAATCATAAAATCTTTAATAACACGGTGAAATTTACTTCCTTTGTATGTCAACTTTTTACCATCTCTCTCCTAAAATAACATGAATAATATGAACAACATTTCTTTATTATCTCTACAATAAAAGAGTTACCACAATCTGTCCTCTTTTCCTCGAACGTGACATACCAAATAAAAACTTATCACCTGGTTTGTACTTTCATGAGCAACACAACAGGTGCCACATATGGAGCAGAATCTTCCCTTCCCTTCCGGTACATCTGAGATAACCCCCCGTTTTTGGCGGTCTTTGTGTTGCTCAGTCTTTTTTTTTCTATATTGTGTATTGCATACTGTTGTTTGTCATTTGGTTGTTTTTCATTTTTTCCCATGGCATTGTCAGTTCGTTTTAAACTTGTGAGTTTGACTATCTCTTTGGTATCTTTTGACTCTCTTCGAGATACAGCAAATACATATAGCCATGGAGCAACAGATAACAGCTTTATATAATGTACAGGACACAGTGGCAATAGGTACTAAAGTTTCCCTTGTATACCCAATGGAAAGTGAAGTAATATAAGGACATCTTTAGTGGCAATTAAAAAGGTACCTACTTTTCACTAGTGATATAACTTTTTACTCTTTTCATACCCTGAATTTTTCATGTATGTTCCTTAAATTTTAACAAAATATATGTATATCTATTTTCTGTGTAAAAACACATGCTTTAATTTGTCACTATTGTATTAGGGTCAACAACTCTTATTTCTTCTTCATCCAAAATAATCATCATATTACACTAAAGAAATAGTGCCAAACTCTTTATCAATATCACCTTTAATCTTTAAAAGCATAGATATTCATGAAATTTCTTACAATTTCCCAAAACAAGAATAAATGTTTGCTGACTATCAATTTTTCTAAAGAATAGTATGAGCATCTCTAACTATCTTTAGTGAGAAAAACATAATAAATTATGCCAATGAACAATTAATGTGCCTTTTCATCCATACCTCAGTTCCCTCTGCTAATGTTTTAAAATTCTTCACAGTTTTAGGGACAGTCTTTCCAAATAAACCAATTACAATTCTGCCAGCTTTTTCTCCTCCAATTTCTATATCAAAATAGACCTGTCAAAAACAAAATTATGTTAATGATACATTGTAAACATGAACCTCAGGTAGATAAAACTATAGGCTCTAAAGAGCAGGTGTCATTCACCTAAGTCTATGGGCATCGTCTACAATGGACACTTTCCAATATTGTTGACTAGAAAAGAATTCATAACAAACATCTCTTTTTGTTGATCTTGTAATGTTGATCATTTTTTCTGCTTAGATTCTGTCTATCTTTAGCTTTTGCCCAAAAAACAAAAAAGGGTAAAAAATTGTCATTTAAGGGCATCACTCCCAAGATTCTACCAACAATTTCCCCAAAATTTGACATACTTGTAGTTTTTGTCTTGCTGATGATTTTTGCTTTTAAAGTGCGGCTGCCAATATATCTCTTATAGTTTTCAAGATAATCATGGTAATAAATTAAAAATGGTTGTCCTTCAACGAGCAGGAACTCTACTATTTAAGAGCCAACTGACAATTTTGACCATTGGAGTGATTTGTAGATCTTGTATTGCTGATCATTTTTGCTTATTTAAGTTTTAACTATCTATTATAGTATTTAAGATATTAGGTGAAAATCATTATTCAAGGGAAATAACTCCAGTAAGGAGTCAACTGACAATATCGGACATATTGATTTATTTGTAGATCTTGTTCTTGCTAATCATTTTTGCCAGTTTAAGTGTCTTTCTGTGACAGTTTTCAAGATAAACGGTAAAAACATTTAAAATGGATAAAAATCGTAATTAACAAGTAATAACTCCAATAAGGAGTCTTCAGAAAATTTCAGCCATGTTGACATATTCGTAGATCTGGTCTTGCTGATCAATTTTGACAGGCCTGGTTAGCTAAAAACAAATGTTAGAGAACTGTGTCAAGTCATTTTTAAAATAAATATGACCACAGACATTTTTCAAGCTTAACCACAAGACCACCAGCCCAGGACTGTAAAATTGCTTTAGGGCTTGTAAAATTCTTCTCTACAAGCCAACAGAATCCAACTAAAATTTTCGTAAAATTGAGCTTGGGGCTTGTGGATTCAAAAGTTTATCATAAGACTACACAGATATATACATCCTGTAGGTAATTTAATGTAGATTTACGACAAAACAAGTCTCAGTCAGAGACAACCGTGGAACAGGTTGGGAAAACCCCTCGAATGAGGTATATCCCTTAATTGAGGGACTGTCCCTCAGACAAGGGGTTATTTTGCTGTTGCAGAATAGAAAAAAGAATAACTTAGCCTTTTTAACTGAAAAGGGGGAAAATTCATTATATTTGGAACTTTTCTAAAAGAGGGGACGGATCGGTCGGGTCCTCTTACATGTATTTTCAAAAATAAAGAAGATTGAAGTCCATGAATATTCCAAAATTCATGGACATCATGAGTCATGTTTTGTCAATATAATCTGAGACTATTATAACACATGTGTTACAGTAGTCTCAGATATAATACTCAAGATGATTTTAAAAAAAAATTTTTTTTATCACTTCAAGTGACTTGAATTCTACCCTCATACATGTCATAAAAGGGATAGTCATTACATTTTGGGGTTATCTCTCATTTGAGGGGTTGTTCCCAACCTGTGGAATCGAAATATAGCGAAAAATCGACAACAAGTGTCATTTCTAAAAAATGTCAGGTTGTTACCTTGGCTTGTGTTATCATAAGTTATAACTAAGATGTACAAAAAATGTACATGTATATGTAATTTTTTTCAGAGACAAAGTGCCTTTACCGTAGTACGTGATACCTATAATAATAAAAGATGCTTTTATTTTAATCAATACTACCACTGATGACAAATAAAAGTTAAACTGAACAAATACACCTTCCCCTTTTTCTTTCTTTGTTTACAACTCGGTGAACTTACTTTGTCAGTAACTTTTGGTCCTTTAGCAGCACCAAATACATATGACGGGACAACAAAAATCATTAGAAAACACCCCAAAATCATTGCTGCTATGATTTTCTTCCTTCGTAGCAGTATACGTGTGCAGTCGTTCGTTAAGAAATTCAGCTTGCCGGTTCGTAACACGGTACAAATGAGGTGGATTGATTTGATTGGTTTTGATAAATTTATCAAGTGTTTAGTTGCGGGAAAATTTGAACATGGTTTTCGTTGACGTCCGCGTTCCACGTGCAGAGTTCATTTATTTTGTTACAATTGGACGGCAAATTACATCAATCCGGAGTAACTCGAGTGACCCAATTGAAAACAGCTTCTTAGATAAGATAATTTTCACGTTTCAGAGTTACCGTTTTTTTTTGTAAACGTGTCGCTTTCATGTCGATTCGGCCCCAGTCGATCCGGCCTATATTTAATGTCGATTCGGCCCCATTAAAAATATAAAGTATAGAATTATATATATTTGACTAATTTTTCATAAATATTAATGAATTTTATGAATAATAACAGAGACATATACTACAATTGCATTTGTCTCTGAAAAAATATCTATATACCTTCAAAATGTGTTACATGAAGGTATATAGTTTAAAAAGTTCAGAACTTCACATATATAGTCGATATTTGCGCTCAATTATATGAACAATAAAATTCACACGGGCACTTGTTTTTTTTTGTGTGCATATGATGCCATAATAATGGGCGATTTAACAAAAGCAGCAGAGCTGATGAGATGGGATCACCGTGCTTGTTTTCGAGAAAATTGGGGATCTTTGCACTTTTGTAAAAACAGTTAAGCAAAGTTATGAAAATTTTGGAGTAGATAATCTTCATCATTGATAAATTGACGAGATTGGAATCATTTTGAAGCTGTGATAATTGAAAATAAGGGAGGGAATCCATACAATAATGACTAGATAGTTATTCAAGCCATGTTTAATATTACGGATAAGATGCCCAATATGGGATATTTTTTTACCTTAAAATGTGAAAATCAAGAGGTTCTTATAATGTCAATTATTTTTCTACATGAACTGCCTTTTGTCATGCTTTCTCCAGATATCAAATAAACTTTGAAATATTTGTCACCGTGCTGATTCGAGATAAATCGCGATTAATCCTATTATTGCATCACCCTAGGTAACCTCAACTTTAGCGCGAAAATGCCCGACGTCCCTGGCTGACAATTTTGACGTCTCCCGCCAGTTATCCCTGCAAGGTTATCGGCGACATTATTCAGGTGTATATTTATTGCTTATAAAGAGCTACCTTAAAATAATAATATTGTTTTCGGAAATAAGAATATGTGTATCATTAATACCTCTCTTTTTATTCTGTTCATGTTTTAAGTGAGAATCATTTCAGGTATATTTATTGTGGACTGTTGATTTCTTTGTGGCTTAATTTAAAGACTTTTCACATTTATTTATAAAATCAATAATTTTGATCTTTTTTTTTATATATTTTGATCTAGAATAATGATTGAATTTAGTGTCTGGAAGACGGGACATGTTACCTAGACTTCCCCCATGAATTTGATTTTGGATCCTTTTTATTCATCTTTAAACTTTCCAGCATATACCGAAATTATGATTGTAAAGCAAGTCACTCAGTAAACTGAGCATGATAATTTATTAATAGGTTTAAAAACCTATTTAAAAAGTCCATCAGTGTGTAATATGGAAAACTGGCCCTTACCTCTTTGTACTATCATATTTGCATACTTTGTCCTCGTAATAACCTGCAGTGTTTCATGGGTTTTTGTTGTTGATAAGGTTTCGGTTAAAATCATAATACTTTCCTTATAGCGTAGTTTTGTTAGTTTAAAAAAACTATATACACTTTTAAGAGTTGTATACTATTATCGTTAATAATGGCGGCATACAAAAATGTACTTCTTTTTTTTTTCATACAAGGGTTTACAACAATTAAAACTGAATTTTTGCGCTATCCGAACTGTGGATATGAGACTTGAAGATCATGGACACAAATCGATATCGAATTTGCTTGCAACTAAAATGTTCTGTAAAACTATTTTCTGTGTGTGTGCTTTCAGACTAACAGGTTGTCCGAAAATCTGTTCAAATCAAAAAGCAGTGATGAATAAACATAAAAATAATAATTGGCATGCATTATGGTAATACCAAAGGGGTCAGTCGTCTTGGGATTACTCACTGTACGATATTTAATTGACTTCATTGTTGAAGACCTCACAGAAGCTTCAAGATGAGAAACTGAAATATGTGTTCAATTCTTTATGATTTCATAAGACTTTTATCCCGTATATATATATTACAAAATGTTAGCTTCAAATGCAATAATATTAATGGTGTAGGTGATGACGTGTGTGAGAAACATAAATTAGAGAATCGTTTATATTAAATATCGTTCAAGCGGGGTTTTTTTTATTACGGAAAATTACACACATGACGTCCCACCCAAAGTGAAGTTTTGGGGAAATTTGAACGCTTAACGTCGCGCAAAGAGTAAACTCCCTTGAACTAGTGACTGTGGTTATGTTTATTTGGGCCCGTTTTATCGAAATTTATTCATCAGTTATTTTTCTTCGTTTTGATTTTGATGGTTGGTTATTGTTGTTACGTCGAACGCAGTTAAAACAGAACATATTGGTTCCAACAAACTGATTTTGCATCAAAATTTAATAAGAGCACCCCCCCCCCCCCCCACCTGAATGCGCTCATCTGGAAGAAATATATGCCATTTTGGTAAATATGTTTTTCCTATAATGCAATCAGTTATGCTTGCTTATTTGAAGATCTTTAGTGGCATTTTTATATAGGTCTTGCAATTATGATAATTTTCACTGTTTACAGTTTTTACCTTTCTAGTAAAATAAAAAAAAAGTCAATTAATGGCAATAAATTCTATAGCTAGTGTGACACATCGGCCATGTTGACTTCCTTGCAGATCTTATTTTGTTGATCTTTTTTGCTTTTATAATTTTTTTCTTTAACTCCTATAGAGTTGACAATAATGCAAATAATGAAAAACACATCATTCAGGGAAAATAACTTCTACAAGGAGTTGACACTTTCGGCAATGATGACTGATTTGTAGATTTTATTATGCTGAACAGTTTTGCTTTTTTGCTGTTTCTCATTAGCTATTACAGTTTTTTTTAAACTGCAAAAATGTAAAAAAAAAAATCATCTTCCAAGGGCAATAACTTATAGACTCACTTGTGATTCGAAATATAGAAAAGCAAAACAAGTGTCTGACAGCGTTGTTTAGCTAAGCATACAATCACTTGTAATTCAAAGTATATGAAAGCAGGGACAGTCTAGCCTATAGAAAGTCCCTGATGAAAGCGAGAAATAAGAGCATACTTGATAGCGTTGTCCTACTTTCCATGCATTCATTTTTTTAGCATTATCGGAAAACAAGACTGAGGTATATTTGACAGCGTTGTCTAGCTCCGCATACACTCACTTGTAATTTGGAATTTAGGAAAGCAAGAAATAGGCACATGTCGAACCTAGCTGGGAGAAAATGTTCTATTAAACAATATCTACCAAGTATTAAACAACGAGTGATTGATCAGTGCACGCAGGATCAATCATCAAAAATTTACAATTTATCCAAGAATTTGTATAGTAATATAGTTAGAACCCCCTCTATTTTTTGACGATCAATGCATTTGAATGGGGACATATAGTTGGAACCCCCCCCCTTTTATCCTGGGTTGGGACACCCCCCCGCCCCTTTTTTTAAATGGCTGGATCCGCCCCTGAGTTCTTATGTTGATGTTCAAAGGAACAAATTAGAAAGGTCATCTCTGTGTAAAATAAGATTGAGTGCACACAATCTTGCTATAGAAAAAGGGCGACATTTAGGTTGACCCACCAATGAACGAGTTTGAAATGTATGTAAATCGGGTGAGGACACGTAGAAGGTGAAAATCACTTTTTACTGAATTTTGAAAAATATTCTAACTACAGAATAAACTTTAAAACTATTATATTAAATATACTTCCTACAAGTTATAGTGAGAATCAGGTAAATATGAAATGTTGCATTAATAGCAATTCTTTAAAAGTCCTGAAAGTGACTGTTCTTATATACGTAAATGTCTGGATTATAGAAATGAGATTTTATCTTCTTAATTATAACATATTATTTCATTATGCTGTATAATATGCTGTTGTATTTGTATTTGTATTTGTATTATCATGCACATAAAACAAATTACTTGTCTTCACATATGACTATCGGTGATTTTCTTTAGCCTTCGATACGGGTAAAAGGTTTTATTCCAAATAATTATTTACATTTTATAACTTTGATCAAAAACTTAAGTTGTAACTCCTTCAGTCAACATTAAACCCTAGATGATTTTGCTTATTATGTCTTTCCACCTTTCCATGGAAAGACATTTTGTTCTGACTGGAACTATTATAGTATAATAGTCCCAGGTTCTGATTATTTAGTTTTTTTCGACACTTTTGTTTCTGAAATGCTGCTTTTGTTTCGCTACATGTTGGTAAGATATTCGGTATATGATATTGAACATTTATTGCGTTTTTGAACTCGCCGTTTTTTACCGAACAATTTTTCATATTGGAATTATCTCCTGGAATATTATTTGTTTTGTTATCGCTTCTCCTGAGAAAGCTTAAAAATTATTGATCAAATAATCTTTTCCAAAATCTCGTCACTTCCTTTATGATCATCTGTTAATTTTGACGGAAGCGGTCAATTCCATGTAATGAGAGTTATTTCCCTTTTTGTGTTTGACATAAGTTGTATGTTGGGGTCACTCATTAGTCATAGAGACTAAGAGGCTTTTTGATATGAGGTCAACGGTCAATAAGTAGGAAATTGGTGTCGAGGCCATAAGGTTTTCGGCAAATTGTAATATGAAACACGACGCTACGCCAATACATTATGATCGAAGCGCACTTGTGACTTTTCATATGAATTTCTTTCCTTGAAACAGAAAAGCGAAAGATACAAAAGAAACATTCAAATTCATAAGTCAAAAATAAACTGACAATGCCATGGCAAAAAAAAGAAAAAGAAAAAAAGAACAATAGACAAACAACAGTATCATGACAAATATATTGAATATCCCAAATAAGCTGTTTGGTGGGATTACTTCTTGACCATACTTATTATGGACCTGGG